ATTGGGAGGCGCGAATGCCCGCTGTGGAAATGCCACGAATGCGAGGAGAGATTAGATCAGCCGGGGCACGGGCGGGGAGGAGAGGAGGGCTTGTTTCCCTTCTGTGCCTACCTTTCCTTTTATTCGAACGCTGACTTAGCCCTTAGGATGGGCTCAAAGCAAGAAGTAAAACCTGCAGGCACAATACCTGGGGTGGCCGAATGCTCCCTGCGGGCTGGGTGTCTGTCAAAATGGGTTTTACCTGCTTGAGCGTGGGGAGATGTTCACACCAAGTCATTGTGCTGTCTCCTGAAGGAACACCAAGATTTCTTCAAGCTTGGGTTCAAAACTATTCTATTCTTGTAAATCAACACAGACTAAAAGGAAAGCCTCTTCCTTTGGGCGTCTGGTGTCTCTTGTTTCTTCTGAGTGCTTGCTGGAGACGGGAAGGAGCAGCACTTCCCTGTGCAGGGTATCACCGAAATGCCCCCTCTCCGCCCGTGCACTTTTTCACTCCAAAATGTGCTGTATCACGCTCCGAATGTTATTCTGCGGGGTAAGCCTTTGGGAGTCATGCCTCCTTTGTTCCTTACCTGAAAATGGATACTTCTGAAAGTAAATTGGGTAGGAAAAAAAAAAACAACAACAAAACTGGGAGGCGATTGAAAAAAATACTGCTTCGGGCTGGGTATAATTAACTGCTCTTTGTCTCTTGCGTGCAGGACAAGTCGTGGCTTAGGCTGCTTGGTGATGGGGAACTCCCTGCAGTGGGTTTTGCTCAGCCCGAGGAGAGGAGGGAGTCTCTTGGCAGGGGATCTCTGTCACGGAGGGCTCGTAAAGCCGAGGAAATCCCTGCGAACCGGAGGGAACTCATCTTCCGTGATCCTGTTACAGTCTTAGGGGGGCAGTTGTCTTTGTTTAACGTCAGTCTGACTCTTCAGATCTGGGTATAAATCTGAAGCCTGGCTGTGTCAGGATGAAGAGCACGGGAAAAAACACCTTGGGCAGCGTGCCTGGGTGGGCAAGGAAGACTTTGGTCCAAAATAGGGTCCTGTTGAACACAAGGGGAGGCTGAGCCCCAGCAGTGGGTGCTGGCTGTTGTCAGAGGGGAGCAGGGGAGCAGAGCCTGCATGTGCTGAGTGCTCAGCACCCCTTCCTCAGATAATGCTTCGTTGCCAAAAGATGTCAAAACAGTCACTCAGGGATTATCTGGGGCTCACATCTTCCTCCCTCTCTTCTTAAAGAGCGAGCATCAGCTTCCCCTTCAGCCCCTCCGACATAGGGGACATTCAAGCCCCTCCATATAAGCCCTTTAGGCTTCTGTTGTGTCTGCCTGAAACAGAAGAAGCTTTTGAAAGGGGTGGAACAGCTTGGCAGAAGGGGCTGCTGTTTTCCCTTGAAGGACAGAGATGTTTATAGCTACAGTCAGGCTTCCTCCAGGGAACCTCTTTATGCCAGAAATCTGAATTGTAGCTGCAGCTGTCTTTCCCTACAGAAACCCCAGCCCCTATGGTATGGGCTGGGGGCTGAGTCCTTTTCCTTCCAGTGCTGTTTTGGGTTTTTTTGTCCTGTTCCCAGCCCCTCTGGTAAGCAGAGGGGGAGGCAGGTTGGCTGGAGTCAGCAGCCTCTTGCCCTGGGGCTGCGTTCCCACTCTCGGCTCTTTGCTGTGTCCCCTGCTCGGAGCCCGGCAGTTAACACAGCAGAGAGGGGGAACATTTATGCTTGTCCTAAAGCTTCTCTTCCCGAGGTCTCCCACGCATATCAACCACACACCCCTTTTTCCAGGGGGCGCAGCCTCCGGTGTCCCCCTGCCCCGGCTGCTGCCCCGCAGGGATGCCCACGCTGGCCTAGCTGGGGTTTGGCTGAAAGGAACACAAGTTGTTTCCCAGGAAAACACCGAGGAGAGGAGCCACCCGTCCTCCCCAGCCTCTTCTGGAGCTGAGCAAGGCTTCCGGCTCTTTGCAGCCGTGCCACGCGGAGCATTTCTGCGAGCCGGCAAAACCCAAGCTTGAAAGTACAGTAAAATGAGTTTGCCATCAAAAGGCAACAAGTCTTACGCTGTGCCCCCGGCTGCTGACCTTTCCCTCTGGAATTCTCCCCTCTGACCTCGGGATCATTAATCCTGATGCTGCCAGATGACAGTAATCCATCACGGCCCCTGACAAGCCTCGCAGCCGCCTGTGAAAGGATCCGCTCGCCTTCAGCATCCAGCCGTCCCATGGCACTCGTTTTTCAGCCCTTCCTGTTGGAGCGCTGGGGGTTTCCAATAAAGACTTTATCGCCTCGGAGCTGGGCTGGGGGAGGAGGGGGCTCCGCGAGCAGCTCATCCTGGCTTCCCAGCTCTGCTCGCAGGCAGCTGCTCTGAAATGGGCCGAGGCGGTGAGGAATACGGTGAATTCACGGGGTGCGGGATGCAAATCACACTCGGCTCGCTCGTCCCATGCCCGAGGGTGTTTCTTGGAGTGGTCTCCACCTAAGGGAAAGCTCAGAAGGAAAATGAGTGCGTGCCCATGCGTGAGGATGGAAGTCGTGTCCCTGCTGTAAAATTCTTCAGCCTGCTCCAAGAAGCTAAAGAAGGAAAAAAAAAAAAAAGGTTTTAGCTTGGCTTATGAAGCTGCTGATTAAATTCTGGGGCGCTTCAGGCCGTGGGGTCTGTTTAAAAGAAAACTGCAGGAAGGCAGGGTGTCAACGGGGTGGTAAGGTGAGGACGAGAGGTCAGCTCTGAGAGCTGCTTCCACTCAGCTGTGAGCAGCTCTCAGGAGCTGGTGGAAGCCCTTATTTCCCCCCCGTGTAGGTAACGTCTGTCACCGGAGCTTTTGGGTAAATTTACGTTTTCAGCTGCTGAGGTGGGGAGGTCTAGAAGAAAGCTAAAACTGATGAGGATAAGTGGAGCATTTTAGAAAGGAGGTATTTAATTTTTCTTCCACGTTAGCAGGTTGAGGAGCCTTACACATGACCCCTTTCGCTCCCCATCTGGTCGCTGGACTGAAGTTTCACCTGGACCAGCTCATGCCCTTCGCTAAATGGGACTGGGACGAGTGGGTGGCAGCGAGGCTGCTGGAGGAAAAGGTCTCGATCCTGCTCCAGCAGCGCCCAGGCTTTGCCCCAAATCATTTTCTTGGTGATTTCCCTTGTTGGGATGTTCTGGCTTCCCTCGCTGCCAGGGCACAAACACTGAACTGCTGCTGAAGGGAGGTTCTGGGGGTGGGAAGAGCGAGTCCTAGCTCTGTCTGGGGTCCTTTGAGACGAATCTTTCCCTGCTCCTGCATTGGGAGCGGGCTGGGTGTGACTGGTTGCTGCAGCTCGGCTGATGGATGATAACTTGGGGCTGGTAACATGATCGCTCCCAGCCTTAAACGCTGCTGCTGCGCTCCTTGTCCTCCTCGCGACGCGCCGAGACAAAATGGTGCCGGGGAGAAACGAAGTGAAGCGAGGGTTGTGTCTACACGGGCTGACGTTTTGGGAGCAGACTGGCTCTGGCTGGAGCCAGAAGGCGTCCAACAATCAGGAGCCTCTGCTCCCGCGGGGAGCTGTCGCATGGGAAACGCAGGAAGAGGATCTGAGGCACTGGTGGATGGCAGCTTGGGAATGGCAGCTTCGTGGCCAGGGAAGGGCTGTTTAGGCAAGGAAAAAAAAGGACATGAGAGAGAGAGAAAGTAATGGGGTGTGCGGGCTGAGCCCAACCGGGTTGCTCTTTACGTTTAAGGGTTGGTGACTGGGGGAAATTGAAGGCTGCCCTTTCAAAGCTGAAGAAGTTTGCTGCTTTTATCCAGCATCTCGTTAACCTGTGGGAATTGGTGCCGTGAGCTAATGCGTAATAGGCTTCAAAAAGGAAAGGGGGGGGGGAAAATTACACTTACATGTATAATGAGGACATCTGCAGAGCTCGCTGAGCTCCTTTTCACTAACCAGAATAAAACCCATTTATAAGGGCCATAAACTGCTCTGCTCCAGGGCATTAACCGGCTCGCTGGCTGATGAGCAGTGGCAGGAGCCTCCCCTGTGGGTTGGGTATCCCATAATTGTCCATTACGGCGTTTCGCTGGCTTTCCTGTACCGGCTGGTGCTGGGCATTGTGGTCAACAGGATACTGACCTCCGATGGACCGCTCTTTGATCCAGGACAGTATTTCCTATGCAAAATAAAAGGCTTGCTGCATCAGCAGCTTTTTCCCTTTTCCTCTCCTTGCCGAAATCTCATCGGTTTGACCTTTTCAGACCCTGGAGGGCTGAAAGGTGCAGCCAAAAGGGCCCTATCAGGTTAAAACCGATGGGGACTCAGTCAGTGCAGTGCATGGGTCACCGATGCTCCGTTACACCCTTCATTTTTTCACCTGCACCATCCCCACCCTGCAACAAGTTGCTGCTCCCGGGTGACATCCATCCCACCGAGGGACACGTACCCGCAGCGGGGCATCATTTGGGAGCTTTGGAAGCTTTTGGAAATGCTTTGTAAGAGCAGGATCCAGAGCTGAGCGCCTGCTTGTGAGGGAGGACGGAGGTGAATGTGCGTGGAGGGGGGAGATGCTGCCGAGTGTCACGTCCCCTTTTTGTTCGCTCTTCCCAAGCAAATCCTGGGGAGCGAGGGAGCAGAGTTCCAGCGCGTGAGCAGCTCGAGCTGCCGGGCTGCTCGGCCCCTTCCTGAGCACAAGCAATCCAGATTTTATCTGAGATTGCCCTGGGAGCTCATAAAAAATGATTCCTCTCTGCTGCTCCCTCGCCCCTAGGATTGAATAGTCCCCACTTCCCCTCTCCTATTCGAGGAGTTGCTCTTAGCTGCAGGTTATTATTTGTCTGATAATTGCTTTTGCCTACAGGAAAGGATTTTTCATGAAAAGGACGTGCCATGTAGCTACACTTCTCTGGCTCATTTACTCGCCCGTAGAGGGGCCTCAAGTCAGGCTACAAATAGAGTTGCCTGACTTTCTTATTAGAAGGAAGATCGATAGCCTCAGCCCGCCAGCCTTCTCGGCCTCATTTTCTCTCTCCCTCCATGTTTTCTTCCCTGCTGTTTCCCTGCAGGAACTCCCATCAATCGGATCCCCATCATGGCAAAGCAGATCCTGGACCTCTACATGCTCTACAAACTGGTGACCGAGAAAGGAGGGCTGGTGGAAATCATCAACAAGAAGATCTGGCGGGAGATCACCAAAGGCCTTAACCTGCCCACCTCCATCACCAGTGCCGCGTTCACGCTTCGAACCCAGTGAGTCTGGAGAGCCTAAAAGCATGGATAGGAGCAGAGCAGGAACTGGGGAGCACAAAATAGGGACCGAGGTGTTACAAATGAGACTGAGTCCTATTCTGTGGCTAGGGAGGAGCTGATGAATTGCTTTATTTATCCCTCCTCTCACACCCACAGCTTGCAGTTTTCCCTTTCTATCCTTTCTCTTGTTTTGCTGAGCAGTGATCCTTCCTGAATGCTCTCCCCTTCCCTCCCTACAACCCCAGCACGAACACACCACCACCTTGTGCCCTGGGACTTGAACTCCTCAGGGCAGGAGGGTCTCTTGCTCTGTCCCCCTTGGCACCGTGAGGGGGCTGCTGATGTATAGGCATCAAGTATGAGCTCGATCATTTCATGTCAGCACTGCTAAGCTGTAGAAACTTGCGTTTAGTGCCTGCCTGCTGTGAGGATTGCTTTTCTGGCCTCACGTTGATTAGGCAAGCCAAAAGGAAGAAAAAGTAGAATGAGACGAGGTTGGTAAATTAAACCTACTGCAGAGTTTAAGCAACAAGGCAAAGCAGCACTTCTGTCCGGTGACTACAGCACACGAGGCTGGACTCTGGGAATGCACACCCCAGTTAAAATGAAGCTCGGTTCTTAGAGCTGGTAACTCTAGAGAGCTGTTAGCTGTTAGATTTTAGAGCTGTGGAGTCCCAGGGAGGGAAGCTCCGTGCTGTTCCTCCAGCCTTTGGTACCAACAGACTGCTTGCTGCGAGTTTGTGCGGCAGAATCCAGAGAAAGTGATAGGTTTGGTGCTGCCCAGTACAAACTGGACAAGGTAACTCCTAGGTCACCCTCCTTGCTGGTAAGTGTTGTGGTCTGAGATCTTATTTGTTAAAATTTTGGCTGCAGTGGTATGCAGCCACGTGCTTTCTTCATGAGAGCTGTGCCTCACACCCAAACCACATAACACGACACCAAGCGCAGCAGCGGTCGTGAGATGCAAAGACTCCAAATCTGCAGGGACCTCAGTCTGAAAGCCTTCCTGGGTGTCACAGCGCATGCTGCAGCCTGGCGTTTCGTGCTCTGTCAAGAAACCTGCCTGAGTCTCCCTGTGCTCGCCCTTCTCCCAGGTATATGAAGTACCTGTACGCCTACGAGTGCGAGAAGAAGTCCCTCAGCTCTCCCGCCGAGCTTCAGGCTGCGATCGACGGCAACAGGCGGGAAGGCAGGCGGCCCAGCTACAGCTCCTCCTTGTTCAGCTACTCGCCCACCGCCACGGGGCCTCCTTCCCTCCTGTCTCCCCCAAAGATCCGCTTCCCGATCATCGGCGTCGCGCCCGGCAGCGGGACCAGCAATCCTCGCGTGTCTCCAGCAGCAGCAGTCAGAAAAGGTCGGCTTTGCGCCCGCGGCGGAGAGGGTGGCTGTGTCACGGGCAGAGAAACGCGGTTATTGCACTTCGTTGCAGTTTTCCCCACCCAATCTGTGTGGGATTTGAGAGTAACGGGGCTCGGGTGGGTGAGGATACGCGGAATATTCTGCCTGCTTTAGGAAGGGCTGCGGGAGAGGCTGAGTAACTCTGTCCTTCTCCAGGCGACGGAGTGCCCTTGACTGTGTCTATGCCAAATCGCATCGCCGTGCCGGTGACCTTGGCGAGCCAGCAGGCGACGGTGGCAGCGAGAACGGCCACCCTGGAGCAGCTGAGGGAGCGGCTGGAGTCCGGGGAGCCGCCGGAGAAGAAGGTCTCGCGGATGACGGAGGAGGAGCAGCGGCTCGTCCAGCAGGCTCTGCAGCGCAACCTCTTCAGCATGGCGCGGCAAATCCCCATGAAAATCAAAATCAATGGCAAGGGTAAGCTGCGTCTCGAGGTGCACGAAGGGGCTTTGCAGGCTGCTGCTCCCAGCCCAGGGTGTCAAACACCTTTTGGCCACCTCTGGGTGCTGGGCAGAGGTCAGTGTCACGAAGTTCCTAAAATAGAGCACAGGAACCGCCAAGCTAAACCGGAGAAATGTTTTGTTAGAGTTTACGGCTGCACTTGTTATTCTTTTTTGGGTGATGCATAGCCCAGCCTGGGTGCAGATCCGCCCTAAGCATGTTCAGGAAGTTTATGTGGTCACTCAGGTGACTTTTGGAGGGGAAACCTCGTCCTGTGCCAGGTGCTCAGCCCCTCCAGCAGAGCGTGCTTTCCCCAGCCCTGCCCTCATCCAGGGTCGTGCTGCAGGGAGTGGATTCCTGTCCTTTTCTCATCAGGAACCCTGTTAATTGATCCTGGAGGTGACAGCTCTGTCTGTACAAGTGGCAGTTAGGGGAGAGAGATGCCCGGCTTTTAGGAATCCCCTTGGCAGGTGTGCTGAGGAGGCTACAAAGCCCTGTGTATCTGCGGGGGGCCCTACACATCCCAGAGCTTTTAGCGAGTCAGGTGGTTCCTGCCAGCATCTGCTGCAGCCCTGCAGGCAGAGAACTGCTGGCAGGGCTGGGTTAGGAGGTCAGAGAGAAGCAGCACTCATGGCCAGGTAAATGCCCTCCTGAAATGCTTTGTGAAAGGGGAGTCACCCCGTAAAGGTCATGTTGTTAGAATCAATACTGTTGTGGAGTGGCTTCAAAAGCTGATAAATGCCACGGCTCCCTACCTGTCCCGGGGCTGCACAGCGAAGGCTCAGAAGGTTCAGTCCCAACAGCTGTTTCCTCTGAACCTTTTGATCCATTCAAATTAAAGGTCTCGGAGCCCCATTAAGTGTCCATTTGCATGTAGGCACAAGGCCGGGCAGGTTTGGCACTGCTTAGATGGGGAAAAGTTGTTCTTGAGGCTTTTGCTAGCAGTGATGTGCTTCGTGGAGATATTTGCGAGAGATACATATGCTCCTGCTGCCCAATTAAATGGGATTGAGACCTCAAATTGCAAGTCCTGACAGCTGCGCATCCACCTCAACTTCACTTTCACATTAAAAAAGTGAGTAAAGAGGAATACAAGTTTTATCAAGTAACGTTCATTCCCTTGTCTCACTTCATTTTTTTCCTCTTCATGCTGAACTTCCAAATCAAAAGGCTAGGGTCAGTTTTAGTCTCCACGATCAGTGACAGGCAGAGGACTGAGCCCTCAGCAGGAGTCAGTGATGCTATTCCCACCTTCCTCAGGGGACTGGGCAAGTCTGTGCTGTCTTTCAGACTCTGATTTCCCGATTGCAAAATAAAAATAATGCTGTGCTTTGTGAAGTGCTTTGGGAGGCACTTTTGAAAAGCACCGCCTGAGCTCACTCCAGCTTGCTAGGACCGTTTGGGTTAAATGTTAACAAAGCCCCTTGCATTCTTCACAGGGACAGCAGCCTTGCTGTCCCAGCAGACTGGAAGGGAGCTCCAAGCACGCACTTTGCATGCAGTGCCAGAGCCTGGGCAGACTGTCTCCATCGTCTCTCCGTGTTTTAATAGCACAATGCCCCAAAACCAACACCGGGGGGCCGGTAACCATGGCACTGTGCAAACTAAGGCTGAATTCATGAGCGTGAGGAGCAATCCCAGGCTCACGCTCAGGCTGTTTTGGTTGGAGGATTCAGAAACATCCAGGAGGGTTTGATGTTCAGCTCCCCTTAGGCATCAGAGCAGAGTGGATCCCAGCTCTGCACTGCCACTTCCAGAACTGCCTGGGATGCCTTAGAAAGGGCTGTCTGTGCGGAGGGGACAGAGAAAACAGATTTCACACGCACCAGGGGCAGCCGAGCGTGTTCATCCTGGGTTTGAGCCTGTCAAGCTTCAGGCAGTCCCCCTCCAGCGGCCGCTGGAGCTGCTGCAGCCTGAGCTCGGCACGCCACGAGTGGCAGCAGCAACCTGAGCCCCAGCTCTGCTGCGAACCCGGCCACAATCCAGCTGGGTAAACACATCTCGTGTGCTGGTGGCTGCTTCTGTGGAGGGGTTGTTCGTTTGGCCCGAGTCGGGGGCTTCAGTGGGATCCCAGCCCATGTGCAGCTCACACCTGGGCACTTAAACACCTTTGTAAGAGGACTGACAGTGTTGGTTTTTTTCCTTATCAGATAAGAGCCAAAAGGAGGGCTGTGTAGGTACCCGATAGCTCCGGGTAGCACGGGAGATGGTGTCGCTCCTCTCTAACTTTGTCTTTTCTTTCCTGGGAAGAAGATAAACCGGACTCGGCGGCGGCGGCAGCGCTGAACCTGTCACCTAACGGCATTGGGAGCATCAACATGTCGGTGGAGATTAACGGCACGATTTATGCTGGTGAGGAGCAGCCGCCCCCCGGGGACGTGTGGAGATGCCAAGCGGGCTGTGAGGAGGGTGGTGTGCTGCCGGGGGCTGGCTGTTTGCCGAAGCACAGCTCACAGCTCGTCTGGCTCAGAAAGCTCAGCAGGAGCTGATTTGTTTTCTTTTTGGTCAAGATGAGTGCTCCTTCCTCCTGGGGGTGGGGGTGGTTGGTATTTTTTCAATCTCAGATGCTCCTGAACGCCGGTTCTCGGTGATTTGCTGTTTGTGCAAGGAGCTGTTGCTGTAATGGCATTCGTGTTTCTGCCATGATCTCTACTCTGGAGCTGTCCCCAGGGAAGCGCTTTGCTGGCAGTCCACACGTGGCATTTTGCTGTGGCAGGGAAGAGGGAACCTGGTGAGAAATCCAGCTTCTCCAGAGAGGGAACTTCTGTGTTAAGTGTTAGCAGGAAGGAGCAATGTGCCCCTTCTCCTAATCAGGAGGAGCTTAACCCAGCTTCTCCTCACACGCTGTAGGGAGGCAAGAGTTGTTGCTGTCCCTGTACCCACCTCAAGCCATTTGACTTGTGCAGGTCACATTTAGGTGACAAAGCCCACAGTGGGAGACCTGGTGCTGCTCTTTCCAGTGGTGTTTGGGATCTTCCAGTCTTCTGCATGCAAAAGATCCCACGGCAGGGGCTGACAGAGCAGGTCCCAGAGCACCCCCTCTTGTGTCCTTGCTATCACTGATGCTCTGATCTGCCTCGAAGCCTGCTGGCCTTGCACAGGGCCCCCTTCTGTTAGGGTGAACCCTTTGGGATTGCTCTCCCCCGTATCCTCCTGAGCCGTGTCACCCCCTAACCTTTCTCCTTTCTTCTCCGTGCCTTGCAGGAGTGCTCTTTGCCCAGAAGCCAGTCGTCCATCTCATCGCAGGCTCCAGCACGCAGAGCTCCTGCAGCAGCAGCAGCAGCAGCTCCCACTGCTCTGCCAGCCCTACCTCATCGCGGGGAACGCCCGGCGCGGAGCCCTCCACCAGCTGGTCTCTCTGACGGCCGGCCGCGCTCGCTGTCTCACACTGGCCCCTGGCAGCTCTCCCTCTCTGCTCGCGGCGGGGAGCGCGCCGGGAAGGAGTCGCACACGTTACCTCATCTCAAGGAACCTGCTTTGCGGCTGGCCGACGGCAAGATGATGATGCTGAAACCTTTCCGCGCCAGCGAGTTGTTCTTCATCGTCCGTTTGTCCAGCCTTTTCCTCCCTTCTCCCCTTTCTTCCTCCCTTTCTCTTCCGTTTTCTTCCTCCTCCTCCTCCTCCTCCTCTTCCTCCCGGGGTTGGCCATGTTCCTGCTGGGGGTGGGACGTGGAGAGGGGGCACCCCTGGCGTTTTTCAATCAGGGATCGTCTCTAGGAGCGGCGGGCCGAGAGATGGCAGAGACGTCACCAAGGCAGGTGGAAGGAGCCAGGGCCGGGGCAGGGCTGCGGGGTTCTCCTTGAGCCAGCAGCCACGCGGGCTCTTCCCACAAACCAACCCCGTGTGTTGACAATCCGAACGGCCGGCAGGCTGCCTTGCCCCTCTCCTGCCGGGCTCACAGCTGCCGAGCAGGCGAGCTGCCTCGCTTTTCTTCAGGCTCTGCCATGCTCTGGTCCTCCCCTCGGGCCCACAGTTCTTGCTTGCGGAGTCCCGAGAGACTTGATGAACCTCCTTCCCCCCTCTCGGAGGTCTTGGCCGCAGGGGAAGGACCCCCAGACACAGAAAAGCCCCCTCTCGCTCAGCTGCTTCGTTCTCCTGGCTGGTGCTGGCCCGTTCCCTGCTGTCGTTGCCTTTTTCAGGCTTTCAGCCAAGTTCCAAATGCCCTCGACCTTGTCCCTCTGCCCTTGGGGAACTCATCCCGCTGACATTTCCCCTGAACTTGTTTTCTCTTGGGTTTGATCCTCTGCCCCATTTGACACAAGACCCGGTGGCTCCGCGAGCTCAGCCCCTGCTGGCGTGGCCTCGCTGTGTCCCCTCTCGTCCTGCCGCCCCGCACACGTCCTCCCCCGCCTGGAGGTCAGATCCCAGCTCCCTCCCTCCTGCCCTGGTGACGTCCTTTCCATCCTCCGGGCCCGAGTCAGGTTTTTTGAGCAGATGAAATACCTCAGATATGTACTTGTTGTTGGGTGTTGTTTTTTTTTGTTTGTTTGTTTTGGGTTGTTTTTTTTTTTAACCTCTTCAGGAAGTATTGGCATATCTTATCGCTTGATTTTTTATATATATATATATATGTGGTTTTGCTGACGTTGTGTTTATTTTTTTTTATTTTTAATTGTAGCACCAAAGACAGAAAAAAAAAAAAAAAGCTGAGTGAAGGAGCAGCAGTTTCCCCATCCTTTAGGCTAGCCAGGAGACACACCGAGCACCACCATCCCAGGACATGTGCACGACAGGACAGGTAGAGGTAGGAACAGAGGGCAAGGGCGACAGCTGAGTTAGAGGAGCCATCCTTCGCCTCGGACAGGAGGCTGTCTCCAGAGGCCCTGTTGGATTTCTCCATCATTTCTCCATCCCCTGTCTGCCTGCCCGTCCTCAGGGCAGAGCAGCAGTGAGCCCACAGCAGCGATCGGTGGTGTTCTCCTTGTGCAGAGCCCTGGTGCAGGGGTGGCCCCATCCCTTGGGCAAGGCTGCACGACCACAGGCAGGAGCTCCCGCTCGCAGCGGCCCCGCTCCCTGGCTGTCAGTTTATGTGACTCGAGTTACCTGCAGCGGGAGGGAGCGACAGGAAGGCGCATGTCCTGGGATGGTTCTGCTCCACGATGGCCCACCTCCGCCTGCCTCCAGTGGGGAGGCAGAGCTGCTCCTTGGCCGCGCACCTCCGAGGCATTTCATTGTCTCCACTCAGAGGATTTTCCAGACTCCGACTCATTCAGACTGTTCTGTTTTTATTTTTTCCTTTTTTTTTTTTTCTTTTGGTTAGTTGTTTTTTTTTGGAGATGGGGGGTGGGTTTGGGGGCTGTTTCCTAAGAGTGGGACTGGGGGACTTTTGGCTTTTCCTTATGCTTTCTTCTCTGGTCCTGGGGAGCAGAGGTTAGTAATGGGTGTTTTTGCTTATGTATCACCTGCTAACATTGTGTTTTCTTGCACAGAAAGGCACTCGAATCACTGAACTGCTAAACGGCTTCGACACTACTAGAGTATTAATGTTTATAAGCTTTACACAACTAGACTGGAAATAGACAGGGACTAACAGATTGTTTTGTATCCGATTCAGGGAAAGCAACAAGTCGGGATGCGTAACAGATACCTCAGTAAAATAAGCTGCAACCATACCCGGTCCTCCGTCGCCCCGATGACGAGGACCACTCAGACTGTGAAGAGGACCCCTTCCCCTGGCCTGGCTTTGATCCCGGTGCCCGGGTCTCCTACTGAGCTGCCAGGCCGCGGGGACAGGGGCAGAGAAACCAGCAGCAGCGAGGGGGTGGAGGAGCGGGGGGCCGGGGGGGAGGCCGGCTGCGATTCATTTCACTCGAGCGCGTGTTGGATTGTAATTAGTACTCAGGGGTTTTGGCACTGCGGGCTCGGGTCCGTTCCTGCCCGGCAGTGCGTCTGCTTCTCTTCGAGCTCCGGACCAGCGAAGGTTTCACAGCGAGCAGCCAAAAATTTAATAAAAAAGAAATTTAGGAGAAAAAAAAAAAGTCAAAGAAAAAGCCCCCAGCTGCTAAGGGAGCAGGTGGGGATGAAACCAAGCTGCTCGCCCTCCAGCCTGCTGCGGGGAGGCGAGGGCAGAGGCTCGGGGCCGGGGGGGCTACGTGGGGGCGTTCACACCGCGTCCCTCCGCGGAGTCAGACCGGATTGTGCTCACCAAACAGCTGCAGCAGCCTTGCTACTCGTTTTCTTACCTATTTAAAAGAAAGAAAATTAAAAAAAAAATAAAAAAAAATAAAAAAAAAAGCAATGTGATAGCCTAGGCGGTGGATAAATACCTCAAGGTCTCCTTCCAACAAGTGTCTGTATATGTTGTTGTTGGGTTTTTTCTATCTTACACGTTCTCTGAATGTTTATATTCCAATAAACTTCTACCTCTTCACACCGGGACCCTGCCAGCGTCATTTGGGGCCTGGGGGGGGTCCATGGTGGCCGTGCCTGGTGTCCTGGGACGGTTCCCCCATGGGGCTGGGTGTGAGCTGGGCACTGCCTGAGCCCTGCTCAGCTGCAGGTGCTTTAACCTAAATTTTAACCTTTTAACCTAAATTTTAACCTTTTAACCTAAAACGCTCCGAGCAAGCTGCAGCGGTTCTGATGTCGGGCGGGAGCTGGTTTCCAGCCCTTTTAGCCCCAAATTTCCAAGGCCTCGCTGCTCCCCATGGTCAGCTCAGAGGCTGGAGGAGGGGGCACGAAGCCCCCCGTGTTGGGGTCAGGCAGGGCCCTTCGCCTCCCCCGCGGCGCGCAAGGGGTTAACCTCCAGAACCAACGAGACGTGCGGCTAGAGCGGCCCCACCGGAAGCGGAAGTGAGCGGAGGGCGGCTGAGGGGGGGCCGGGCCGGGCCGGGCCGCACCCGGGGGCGCTGCGGGGCCCGGCGGAGGTGAGCGGGGGGGTCCTAAAGGGGCCCGGGGGCAGCCTCAGGGGGTCATGGGGAGCCCTAAAGGGGTCCAGGGGCGGTTTGAGGGGTCTGGGGGCGCCTCAGAAGGCCCTGGGGGAGGCCTGAAGGGGTCAGGGGGCGGCCTAAGGGGGGCTGGGGGCGGCCTGAGGGGGCTGAGGGAGGTTTGGGGGGGCTGGGGGTGGCCTAAGGGGGTCATGGGGCACACTAAGGGGGTCTGGGGGTGCCCCCAGAGGCTCTGGGGGAGGCCTGGAGGGGTCAAGGGGTGGCTTAAGGGGGCCTTTGAGTGGCCTAAAGGAGCCTCTGGGCACCCTAAGGGTGTCTGGGGGTGGTTTTAGGGTCCTGCAGGTACCCCAGAAGGCTCTGGGGGTACCGTGAAGGGGTCTGGGGTGGTTTTATGGTCCTGGGGTGACCTAAAGGGGCTTTGGGTGTCTTAAAGGAGCCTGGGAGCAGCCTAAGGGGGTCATGGGGCACCCTGAAGGGGGTTGGGGGAGATTTAATGGCTCTGTGGGTGCCCCAAAAGGCTCTGAGGGCACCCTGAAGGGGCTTGGGGGAGGCCTGGGGGGTTCTAGGGGCACCCTGAGAGGGTCTAGGGGAGGCCTGAAGGGGTCTGGGGATGGCTGAAGGGGCTCTGGGGGCACCCTGAGGGCATCGGGGGCACCCTGAGGGGGCTCGGGGCCGGGAGCTGAGCAGGCTGTGTGTGTGCCCGCAGATGCACCACTGCAGGCGGTACCGGTCCCCGGAGCAGGAGCCCTGCTGGGGCCAGCGGTGGAAGCGGCGGCGGTCCCGGAGCAGGGCCCCCGAGGGCAGGCTGCGCTGCCCGCCCCGCAGGGACCCGGCCAGGAGGTCACGATCCAGAAGGTGAGGGGTGCGGGGGGGCTTCCCCTGGGGGCTGGGGGGCAGGATCTCGGCGCTCGTCCTCACCCCAGGGTGGGTGCAGCTGGGAGGGGATGCCTTAATTGTTCAGGGCCTGGCTTTGGTTTAACGAAGCAAACGAATTGTGCCCACAATTGGCTTTCCCCATTTTTTTTAATTAACAGATTATGGAGGTGGGATTTGGGTGAAAGCAGACAGCTGCCGGGTGAGAACCTGTCTGCCCTTCCATCCTCAGGCTGTGAGCCTCCTGGGGGTCCCTCGGTACCCTCCAGTCCTTCGGGCTGTTATTTCTGAGTCCTCTCTACCGTAAAAGTTCAGACTGAGGTTTCAGAGGGGTGGGCTTGGGGTTTTAGTGTTTTGTGTTTTTTTTTTTTTCCATTGTGGATAATTTAGCAGGCAAGGCAGAGTGAGATTTGGTTCCTGACCCAAGCTGAAATCACCCTGTGCACGTCTGCGTCCTGTTGGGCTGTCAGCAAGAACGCCAGTCGTAGCCAAAGCAGAGGGGAAACAAACCCCAAAAGCTGCTTTTTGCAGAGGGAGGCGGCTGTGACGAGGCCTCGGTCCAGCCTGGCTGGACACGTGCCCGAAACGCTGCTTTGGTCACGTTCTGTGGGTTTGGCACCAGCGTGCTGTGGTTTTCTTCTGTCTTGTGACGTTTTCTGCCTTAAAGGAGGCTGCTCCTTCAGCACAGGGCTCGCTGTGGGGGCCACAGGGTTTATCTGTAGGGCAGGGGCCGAATTCTCCTCCTGGCTCGTTGGAGCCATCACCGGAGGCACGCGGACACCCAAGACTGAGTGTTTGGGGGCACCCATCCCTGCTGGGGCGATGTTTTGGGCACCGCTGCTGGCTTGGCTCCTCGCTCATTAAAAAAACAACCAAGAGGCCTTCCTGGGGGAGGAGAAACGGTGCTGGGAGAGCCCCCGTGGGTGCAGGGGGAGGCTCCGTGAGGCGGGCAGCTCGCACCCAGCCCAAAGCAGGCGCCTGCTTTCCCCCCAGCTCCTCGAAAGGTGGGAGCACCACGCGATTTTCCCTCTAGCAAAGCTTTGCTGTTTCCCTGAGCGACTTGGCTCTGAGGAGACAGCCCCCGGGGGGGCTGGCAGCGGGGGGGATTTGCCATCCTCGTGCAGCTCCGCACGTTGAGGTGTCGCTTGTGCCGCAGCCGGGACAGGACGCCGCCGCGCAGGAGGTACCGGGACAGGCGGGGCAGCGACGCCTGCAGGTTCGAGGAGCGGAGCCCATCCTGGGGGGACGACTGCTGCCCGCCCCGCCTGCGGGGCCGAGAGCAGCACCGCGCCAGGCAGCACCAGCACCGCTGCAGAAAGCGCAGGACCAGGTCTTGTAGCAGCGCCTCCTCGGTGAGTAGCAGCCGGAACGAGCGCGGGGGCGCTTGGGGCCCTCACCCTTCCCCCCTCCTTGCAGCTCGGAGCGCTCCGGGTGAGTACCTCTGCCCCCTCCTCGTGTCCACCTCGTTACGGGGGGCGTGCGGTCCCGAACCTGCGTGCTGGGGCGCTGGGAGAGGCGGTGGCTGGTGATTTTGGTGGCCCAGCCCCCAAAAGCTGTGGTAGGTGAGGAAATGGAGCTGCGTTCTTCATGGTCGGGGGGCGAGCCAAGGCTCCGGGTGGCACACGGGTGGCACGGGGACAGCCAGGCTGCGGTGTCCCCGTGCAGGTCTCCGCGTGGTGAGGGCCTCGCCTCCGCCTGCTGGTGCTGCTGGGGGGGTCTGGCAGGCAGTGAGGGTTCGGAGCACTGCTGGCGGGTGCTGGGTGGTTTGTGCCCCGTCCCATGTGGGATCTGTCAGCCTCAGCGAGCCTTGCGTGAGCCGTGAGCGCTGTGGTTGCCAGCCCTGGCCCCCTGCACTCGGCTCCCACCTCCCAAAAACCCGCCTGCATCCTCTGTGCCTGGTTCTGTGCAGCTTTCCCACCTGGCTGTAAGGATTTGTGACATTCCCTGCTAGAGACGGTCCAAGGACTGCCAGGGAATGCACGGGGCAGGGCTGGGGGGCTTCTCCCCGGGCCTGGAGCAGCCTGGGGGTGCTGCGAGGTGTGGGCCCGAGCGTCTCTGCCTCGCTGCTGCCCTGCAGCAGGGGAAGTTCTTGTCACTGCCAGTTCTGTCCGCTGCTCCCCTTCAGATATTGAAACAGCACAGTGACCGCGTCCCGATCCCCGCAGTTCCCATGGATACCTGCATGGTGTGGGGGCTCTGTGGGCCTGCTGCTCTCCTTGCCTGCCTTCCTTCCCCACTGATGTTTCTGTTTAGGTCTCAGAGGCAGGGTTATGGCTCAAACGCTGCGCTGTGGTTTGCGTGTGCGCGTGCGGTGAGGCGGTGTGCGGGGTTTGGGTCGCCTGAGCGGGCTCCTTGCGGGGCTCGCAGCTCTCCCCTGCGCCTCCTTCTGGCTCAGCTCACCTTGCGGGGCTCACAGCTCCTTATTTTGGACCAGGTGGGGGACGAGGGGCGCAGAAGAGCAGCCTGATAGAAAGCCAGGCATGGAAACGCAGAGCTTTGTTTGCATTTCTTTCGCTGTAGAGACTGTGGCCATTTTTAGGGCTAAATAGGAAACACCAGGGATCAGGGCAGGTCGACCTGCAGACCCCGGTCCTTGCGGGCCCGCCGGGCTGGTTTTGCAGTAGCAGGGGTGACCGTGAGCTCGTGTCTTTTAGTGGAAGCTTGAAGGGGAGCGAAACGCTCCCTGGGGACTCACTCGAAGCATCCCTCAGGCTCTTGCAGGCTTCAGCCTGCCCCCGAGGAGGAGGAGGAGCAGCGCTGGGTCCCCTCTCAGCAGACCGGGAGCTGGGCACCCGTTAGCTGAGGGGCAGAGCTGCTGCTCCTGCTCAGCTGCCAGCTCACCCAGCCTTCCTCAGGTTTCCCAGTGGAGAAGAGGGCGTTCCTCTGGCCGAGCCCTCCTTCCTGCACCTCCCGGGGCACCCTTGGGTGCTGCCGAGGTCGCTGCTCCCCCGGGGCACCCCCCGAGAGAGGGGGGCGTTTGGTGGCAGCAGGCGCCGCAGCTGACGGAGGGTGTTCTTTACGTGCCTGTAGCTGTTGATTACTTGTCTGTGTTGAAGTCGGTTTGTGTCTTGACGTGTCCCTTGCACTATCCCTATCGTTATATATGCCGTGTGCCTTATGAAATGCTGGCATCTGGAAAACCCACCCGCCGCCGCGCCGCCGCCTCTCCACCTTTGACTGACACCACAATCTGCCACCGGGGACTGCCCGCTGCGCGCGCTCGGCCGCACGCCGTGCCGTGCCGGGGGGCGGTGTGTGCAGAGAAGCCAGCAGAGCAGTAAGCGCAGCAGGAGCGTGGAAGATGACAAGGAAGGCCACCTGGTGTGCAGGACCGGCGATTGGCTTCACGAGCGATGTACAGCCACCTTGCGTAAAACTTTACCTCTACTTCCTCCCCCTGTGCTAGCCGAGATCTCTCCCCCCCGTACCGGAGGGGTCTCTAGCGTTTATTGTAACGGACTCACCAGTAAATTGCCTGAGGCAGACAATAGAGGCGTGAGCTTTAAAGAGCGTAGCAGCCAGAGACGTTTCTGTTTTGACGTGTTATTGCTGGGAGATTTGCAGGACCCCGGCTCTCGCCCGGCCCCCGAGGCTCACGCCCGCTCCTCTTCTCTCTCCTAGACGAGATCGTCGGCAGCCTCGGCGAAGGCACTTTTGGCAAAGTGGTGGAGTGCGTCGACCACGCCAGGTGGGCAGCCCTCCCTTCCCCATCTCCTCTATCATGGCAGGATTTGTGCTCGCTCAGTGGCTGAGGGCTTCAGGATGGGCCAGCCGGACAGGGAGGTGGCCTCAATCTGCCAGGGTGCTTCTTTTTCTGCTCCTCTCCCGTGGTTACACCCGACTCCTGTCCCTTCCTCTCTTCTCCTGACCTGCTGGGGGGCTGCCGGGTCGGGACGTGGCTTGAGCACTTCAAATCTCCGTGGTATTTAATTGCTTGCCAAGGTTGGGACAAGGGCAGAACGGCTGATCTCCTACCCACACCTCGTTTTTGGTTTCCCTGCACTATCACTCCCTCATCCTGAGCTTGCTGGAGGCCATCTCCTTCCTCCGCCTGGTTTTATTTATTAGTTCGCCACACGCCTGCTCGCAGCACTGCATGGCTGAGCTAAGGGAAGCCAGTGGGAACGTGGTCTGAATGTACCCTTGGGAAGCTCCTCATCATCCTGCAGCCTCCTGCAGTGCCCTGTGGGGTGTGTGTGCCAGTGACAGCAGCTTTTTCTGACTCCTTTGTCTCTTCCCTCGCAGAGGCAAATCCCAGGTGGCACTGAAAATCATAAAAAATGTTGGGAAGTACCGAGAAGCAGCCAGGCTGGAAATTAACGTCCTGAAGAAGATCAAGGAGAAGGACAAGGAGAACAAATTGTGAGTTGCTGCGAAGCTCCCAGGCAGCCAGTGCCGTGTCCTCAGAGACGTTCAGCCTGCCTGAACGAGGTCCAAAGCCGCCCAGAGCTGAGGACTGGATGTACCTGCTGCTCGCTGGGTGAGCAAAGTGGGCGGGAGGTTTGTCTGCAGCATCAGTGGATGGATTGCTGTGCTTCCAGGTCAGCTGGCTCAGGGCTTTTGTTCACCAAAAACTGGGAGAATGACTTCTGTCGAGCCTCTGAACTCGGTTAATCCTCGTGCCGTTCTCTCTGTCTAGCTTGTGCGTCCTGATGTCGGACTGGTTCAACTTCCACGGCCACATGTGCATCGCCTTCGAGCTTCTTGGCAAGAACACTTTTGAGTTCCTGAAAGAGAACAACTTCCAGCCCTACCCTCTCCCTCAGATCCGGCACATGGCCTACCAGCTCTGCCACGCCTTGAGATGTGAGTGACCCGGGGCCAGCCTTTGGGGTTGCCAGCAGCTGCTTGTTCTTCAGCGCATGCTTTTTTGGGGTTGTTTCAACCTGTAGTAGGACCTGAATGTCCTAGCTTCCTTTTCTGAAGCTGCTAAGAAGATAAGATATGATGATTTCTGTGGAGTAGTCTTTAGATTTACTTTCTTTTCCTTGTGAAAGGAAAGGAGGAGAGGCTTGTGAGCTCTTTTGTCCTTCTCTGTTAGAAATGCGTAGTCACTGCTAGGCTTTGCCTCTCCAGAATGGGCTGGGGTGGAAGCAAGGAGTCAGCTTGCGTCAGGGTGTCCAGTACATGGACTTGGTGCTCCAGTGCTTGGCTCTGACGTGTTTTTTTTTCCTCTCCTCTTCCCGCCGTGCAGTTCTACACGACAACCAGCTGACTCACACTGACCTCAAGCCAGAAAACATCTTGTTCGTCAACTCTGACTTCGACACTCTGTACAACGAGAAAAAGGTGGGTTATGGCTGAGGGAGGTGACTGAGGCAGGAACGGCCGCCTGCCCCCTCACTGCAGAAGGTGGATCTTCCCTCTTCTGGGCATCCCTCACAAGCCTGTTCAGGAAGAACAACCTGGGAGCTTTCCCTCCTGTTTTTTAAGAGCGTTAAGGCTCTGCTTCAGTGGCTCCAGCCGCAGTTCAGCTGCTGCCCTTAACACGGACACGGGATGTCAACAGCTCAGAGCTTCCCACTTGGGATCCTTCTGATTAACAGCGTGGATGGGGCGCTTCTGGGGACAGAGGGCTCCCGTCAGAGCCTGAACCAGCTGCTAAAAGCTCCGAGGCCTTCTCCTTTGCTCGCAGAGCTGCGAGGAGAAATCCATCCGGAACACGAGCATCCGCGTGGCTGATTTTGGAAGCGCCACCTTCGACCACGAGCACCACACCACCATCGTGGCCACCCGGCACTACCGCCCCCCCGAAGTGATTCTTGGTGAGCGGCGCGGGGTGGCAGGGGGCGGCTGGAAGGAGGCGTGGTGGGAGCTGCTGGGAGCACGGGGCTAGCTTTACTCTCTCTGCAGAGCTGGGCTGGGCACAGCCCTGTGATGTCTGGAGTACCGGCTGCATCTTGTTCGAGTACTACCGGGGCTTCACGCTCTTCCAGGTATGACTTGCAAAAGGCATCGTGTTTTTTGGCCAAACTGAGAGTTCTTACTGTCAAAAAAAAGGCTAGAATTAGGTACAGGGAGGGGAAATGAAAGGATAGAAAAAGCAAGAGAGGAAGCAGAGCTGGACAGGACTCGCACCGCTCCTGGCCTCTCTCTCATCCTCTCTACCTGTCTAAGTGACAGGCTGTTGTCACCAGCTCTCCAAGCTCTGAAGCAATGCGCTGCTGCTCTTTTCCTTCACAGACCCACGAGAACCGTGAGCATCTGGTCATGATGGAGAAAATCCTTGGGCCCCTTCCCTCTCACATGATCCACAGAACTCGGTGAGAGCCTGCAACTGCACCGCCAGCGCCCGGGTTAACTGGTTGTGGTGACTAACGAGTCAGGGTGCCAGTTGTGTTGGCACACCCAGGCTAACCACCTCTATAACCACAGGGAACTCGCTGGAAGTTGGGGTTCTGAGCCTGATCACTGGTTTTAGGGGCAGTGGTTCAGCTGCTGAGGGAGTAATTAATAATTACTATTAATTGTCATCGAGTCTCACGGGCTGCTGCTCTTCCTGTCGGTGGGGGTGAGCTCCCCTGGGGCAGCCCCCTGAGCACCTTTCCTCCTCCCCAGGAAGCAGAAATACTTCCACAACGGGAACCTGGTATGGGATGAGAACACATCCGATGGGAGATACGTGCAAGAGAACTGCAAGCCCCTGCGGGTAGGTGGCAGAGGGCAGCTCTGAGCGGGTGCTGGCTGTGCTCTGAGGCTCCCTTCCTGAGAGCCACAGGGGTCAGGAAGGGAATCCTCTCTGCTGGGGGCGAGGTAACAGCCACAGCCTCGCTGTACCTCACAGAACTGGGGGCTGCTGCGTGCTCCATGTTGTACCAGAGCCTACACCCATCTCACCCGCCCTTCTGTTTCAGACATACATGCTGCACGACTCGCTGGAGCACGCGCAGCTCTTCGACTTGATGAGAAGGATGCTCGAGTTCGACCCTTCCCAGAGGATCACGTTTTCGGAAGCCCTCCTGCATCCCTTCTTTGCGGGCCTCTCTGCGGAGGAGCGGATGCTGTGCGGGCGCAGCGCCAGCCGGGACCTGAGCAGATGACAGCAGGGGAGGTGGCAGGGGCCAGGTTGGGACAGACGGGCTCAGTCTGACCTCTGCAGCTCAGCTCCACCCCCTCGGAGTTCAGAGGGACACTGTGACATGAACTGTGGGCAGGGGAGGGGAAGAACAGCTCCGTTGGAAAGCACAGATTTGTCTATTTATATGTTGTAAAGTTAAAATAAAGTGTTTCTTATTGTTTCCTACTTCCCTCGTAGGCAGGGTGGAGGGCGCGCTTGCTCCCAGCTCTCTCTTTTCTGTGCAAAAGGTGGAACTGTTGAAAAATAGTCAGGAAAGGAGGCAGCAGGATGCTTTGCTTCAGGGGAGGGCAAGAACTGAATTCCCTGGTCCCTGCCCTCGTGCCTCTGAGCAGCATGGAGCAGCAGGCAGGCTTGCTGTGCCTGTGGGGTCAGACAAATGAAGAGCTGCACGGTTGTAGCACACATTAATAGTTGCACTTTATTTCAGGGCAGCCCCCCGCAGAGGCAGGAGTCAGTCATTACAAAGAGGGGTCACACGTGGAACACCGAGCGGTGAGGCCGGGCAGTGATCTTCTCGTGGCAGTGAGCAGAGCAGCACTCACGGGCAGGGCCTGTGCGGGGACAGAAACGACCTCAAACAGTTAAAAAGTAGGGTGAGGGAAGGGGAAACCACGGGACCCAGCCCCTCAGGGTGTTCCAGAAGAGTAACCCCTGTAAATAAGATGCGTTTCGTGTGGGCAGGGCCCCTGCTTCCTTCCTCCAGTAACCCACTGAGAAGAAGCCCAGCCCAACACCCCCAGCTCCTCTCACCTTCAGCAGGGGAGCGCAGTGTAAAGGCTCCCTGCTGTGCCCCACACACCACCCAGGTAGGAATTAGGAAGTTTTTTCCTTACATCAGGGCTCCTGCCCTCCCCTTCTACCTCTTCCTTTTTTTTTTTTCTTAAAGTTGGGGCCCTCCTGCTGCATGGCTGGCCTCGCACAGGGCCCCAGTGCTCCCCCAAACCCCCCCGCAGTGAGAACAGAGCTGGGCCCACCTGCCAAACCTGCACGGGTGGCGTTACCTGGCTCATGCAGCTTCAGACAAGGCCCCTGGGATTAAGCCTTGGATATTTTATACACTGCTACTGCCCCACGGGTACAATCTGCAGTTCAGCAGCCAAACCCCAAGGAGCCAAGAAAAGCAGGGATTTAAGCAGCAGGGTCTCCTACCCAGCGTCTTGAGTAAGGAAAGTGAAAAATGCAGGGATTAATGCAGGGATTAGGACCAACGCTGTACTAAAGCACCAGGCTGCAGCTGACTGCCCACCTTTTCCACCCAGGTGCTGCTCCTCTGCCTGGTTAAAGATGAGTTGAGGAAACAAAAAGGCAGAGAGAAGCCTTGCACTTGTACATCACCCAGCCAGCCCCACAGCTGCCCCTTCTCCAGGCAGCTGAGCAGAGCCTGCAAAATGCCATTGCAGCCCAGGCTGAGCATTTTGTCAGAAAAAGCTTTAGGAACAGGGGTCTGGACACCGAGAGGGGCAGAGCCTGGGTCCTGCTGAGGTAGATGTGGCAGGGGAAGCTGCAGCTGATGGGGCACTTCACACGTGCCCAGGTCATTTATAAAAGCATCACAGAGAACTGGCCCTAAAAGGGAGTAAAATTGTCTTTCAAGCATTTTTCACTAGCTCCAGAATAACCTTTTCCCTAACCTCACCAGGCACTGCAGTGAGCCTGGCAGCCCTGTAATGACCAGGGCCTTCCTTCTCACCAGTGCTGACCTTTACCAGCCTCTGGTCGACTGGGAGCTCTCCAGATTCTCAAGACCTTTGAAAAAAATACTGGCGAGGTCTCCCAGTGACACCAGCCAGCTCTCTGAGCACCCTGGGCTCAATCCCATGGGGCCAGGGACTTACACACACCCAGCTGGAGCAAACCCTGCTCGGGGCGTGCTGGGGTTTGTCCTTCCCACAGTCACAGCCCTCTGGTGCTCGGCCTCACTCCCAATGCCCAAACCCTTCCCTTTTCCACCTCAGCACTAAAAGATCCCTGCCCAGCTTGCTCAAGTTCTGCCACTTTGGCATCTCCTGCTCCTGTGCTCTTAGAAAGCAGCTCTCGCTCCCTCTCTCCCCCCATACCCAGGGTCACACCTGCACTCCCAGGCAAATTCCTGCTCCACCAGGGCAGCCTCCTTCCTCCTCTGACACTCAGCCTGTGTTCTAAGGCAGATAAAAGGCAAATAAATGCAGGTGCCCGACCTGTGGACTCGCAGCTGCCCACCACCCAAACAAGCCCAGCCCCGACTGCGCTGCCGTTCCCCCGCACTGGGCAGCTGTCCCCGTGCTCCAGCCCCAGCTGGAAGCCAGCTGCCCCAGAGGAAAGGCACCCTCTGAAGCTCTGGAAGCTGCCAGAACAGGCTCTGGGGCAGGTTCAGGACCAGCAGAAGTTTTGGGGAGAGGAAAGGGCCCAGGAGGATGGCAGAGCTTCGCCTCCTGTCCGCGCCACAGCACCAGGAGCAGGCAGACGCAGCTCAGCTCACAGCACCTCCTGTGTCACCCCAGGGCCAGCTGCGGGTGCACGGAGAGCACGAAGAGGGAGCTCACCCGAACATCACCCACAGCAGGGAACAGGCAGAGCAATGCTTCCCTGCGCCTCCCCCGATTCAGACAACCACTGTGCCAGAAAGAAAAAAAAAAAGAATAATTATTTTCCAAACCACACCTCGCTCCCCGAACAAAGAAAAAGCCAGAGGGCAGGAGTAAAACCTAGCTGAGGACACGGGTGTTCCTGGAGCATGTGCTACCTGAGAGCTTCTGGCCCCTGGCACGAGCTTTCTGAAGAGGGAGCTCTCTCCTTGAGGAGCGGAGGGCCAGGAGAGCCAGCGAGCTGCAGCTGCCTTTGTGAACAAAAAAAAAACGAAGGGGGGGAGCCAAAAGAACCGAGCAAAACCAACTCCTCCCTCCCGGTACAACTGCAACAAAAGGTTATTTCTACACAACCAAGGGGTGCTGTTCCCAGCAGGACACCTTGAAGGGCTGGGAAATCAGTCTCAATCCTCCGAGCCACCCGCCGCTTGTAGCAGACCCTCTCAAACAGCCCCTCCGACAGCCCCCTGGCCAGGCCGGGGCAGCACTGGCTGCCTTGGCCAGGGACAGGCACCACCTTCCTGAGTGTCCCTTCACACAATGGCACAAGAGAATGAAGACAGCTCTGCAGGAAGGTTTGCTTTCTTCTTTTTTGCTTTCACTTTATGACTTTTTCTTTTTTTTTTTTTTTTTAAATACACAACTTTTCTTCTGGAAGGAAACTCTCCAGAACTTCACATCCTTAAGGCGTCACGAGTTTACTAGCCGGGATCCACCAGACAGCTTTATTTGACAGACATCCTGCTCTCTTCTCTCCCTTCAGATCCGTGGGGCTGGATGGGCTCTAAGTGGAGTGCAGGGGGATGACGAATTTGCAGCCGAAGGGCGAGTGGTAGTTTATCCCCACCTCCTGAAAGACCTTCTGGGGAATGCCAATGTCACAGAGGTACACGCGCCCTGCCCTCTCGCCCAGCGGCAGGGGCAGCCCCAAGGCCAGCGACCACTTGGCATCGATGCCCTGCTCCATTTCGCTGATGGGAGGGTCTATGCTGAGGACGGGTGCCCGGTTCTGGTTGGCCCAGTCCACGACTGCTTTGTACCAAGGCTGATCTCTCAGAAAGGCATTTTCGTGACAATCCAGGCAGTTGATCACTAGGTCAACAGGGGTATCGGGGAGATCTGAAAGAAACACAAGCACTGTGAGCACCGAGGAGCGGCCTGAAAACACGATCCATTGCTCGGGGCTTTCCCTCCTTTTCTTTCTCTTTCATTTTTCCTTTTCCTTCCCTTTTCCTCCCCTGCTGCCAGCAGAGACTTCTCCTTTTTGCCTCCAGCACCCACAGGCTTGCAGCACACAGTCTGGCCTCACAGGCTGTTACTGCTGTCCTTCTGCAGGACACACTGACATCAATATTTAAAAGCTCCTGAACTTGCTGGAGAACATCCACAGCCTTCCAGATACCGAAACAGAACCTCACTGAGCAGCCAGCAGTTCAGCAGACCTGCCCCAGATGGCACTGCTGAGCTGGCTTCTCCAGCCCGGGCAGCCCAGGGAAGCAGGGGATGACTTTCTCCACTAAAAACAAAGCAGTTTTCTAGCCTGCACGATTGGAAAAAAACGTGTATTGCTCTGGAGCACATTGATTAGCTTCGCTACGGAATGGCAACGTGGGAGCTGCAGGTGTTGCCTGCCCCACTGAGACCTGTTGGTCTCGCTGCACTCACCTGCTGCACTCTCTTCATGAAGCACTCGGTGCAGGGACTGCTATTTTATTATAACGGGCACATGGCTCCACCAGCACTGCACAGCCCCCACCCTGCTGCAGCACCAAGCATGTGCCCTAATTCCCAGGCTTGTTTCTCCCCCAAAATTTAAAAGAGCTAGGTTTGGAAATAATGCTAGCGGAGCGCCAACCAGAAGCCAGCTGGCTCACAGAAGGCAGAGCATCGCCGCACTGTGTGGTGTATTCCAAACCAGCACCCTGACAGCTCAGCGAGGATGCGTGCTCGGTGTGAAACAGCAGTTGGATGCTCATTTACTTGCTGCTTCGACGTGCTGAACAAGGCGAGCCTTATCCTGGGAGAATGGCTGGTCTGACTCAGCCCCAGACAGCAGCTCTTGTGTTCCTTCAGACCGGAAACATCTGCAGCAGCACAACTGCTCCACTGTCGGACCTCTCGAGGCTCTGCTGCCCTGCGGGGCCGCTAGATGGTGCCACCGGCTCGGCACAGGGCTGCAGAGCAGCTCTGCCCCTCGCTTACCTTTGACGCTGGAGACCTGCTGGCCTTGCGTCTTGCTGAAGAGGTTCAGCTCATTGGTGATGGACTCCAGCATCTTGACGAAGTTGGGCAGGAAGAGGATGACGTGGACGTCATGATTGGAGAGGTGCCGCCCGCAGCTGATGCCCTGCGCCCCCTTGACGTGGGGGCCGCACAGCAGGGCCACCGTGGGCCGCTGGTGCACGTTCTTCGGGTTCAGCCTGAGGGGAGAACGAAGGGAAACGTCAGTAAAAGCCAAGGATCTCCCGCCTTCGTCCTGCGAGATGCAAATCAACAGGTGCTTTACAAGCCTTCTGTCGCCTCTGAAGAAGAAGGAACCCACATCCTTTTGTAGTGCTGACAGCAGAGAACTGTTCTGCCTGCAGGTTCCCTCCGAGACCTCTCTGCACCCACAGCAGAGCAGTCCCAGCCCTGCCCGGCTCCTCACACAGCCAGCTTGTTCCCTGTTTGATGATGCGTTTTCACTAGTCACATAGCAAGCTTCAAATCGGTGCATTTTCACTTTTAGGAGGCTTCTTTTTCCCCTTCTGCCCCTCTGATTGTGAAGGATGTTTTAAGAACTGCAGTAGTTTAATGCAGTGTGAAGAACAGGCAGCGCTCCAAAGCCAGCACAAGGGCTGAGCAGTTCTGCACTCAGATTTCTCATCTGAGAGGGTCAGTGCTGCCTGGTAGCTCACCCCTTACTGCTTTAAACCCAATACTTGTGTCCTGGGCTGCAAGTACCGTGCTACTGCGTGACCAGAAGACTGAGACCGCTCGGGCTTACCTTCTGTTTTAAGAACAAATCATGCAGAGCACCTACCAGCAGCACAAGAAGACGTGTGAGTGCCTGCCCGCACCAACAAACCTGTAAGTGCAGGCCCAGGACAGACCTTTTTCAGTCGGCACATCACTCGTGCAAAGAGCAGCAAGCACACTCCAAGCCTGCCCCCAAACCGGGCACCCCAAAAGGGCAGGATGTTTGCAGACGCCTAAAAGCCAGCTCAGCATTGTGAAGAGCTGAACGGCTCGCTCTCACTGGCCAACTTTTGTTTTGTTGATGCCATTAAACAAAGGAAAAGTTGAGTTGTTTGCAAAAAAGGGCCGGCTCACTGAAATTCTGAAAGGGTTTCAGCAGCCGTGGGTTACATTGGTGCAAAGCTAAGTTCCCTGAAAAAATGCTCATGAAATGGAGAGAGAAAACAGCAGCTCTGCTTCATCTTTGGCCCAAGAGGCTTCTATTTCCAGGACAACGGAGACAAAGGGAAGCCCTTATCCAATCACCCATCCAAGATAGCAAAATCAACCAGTTCCTTCCTAGAGAGGCTGAATATTAAAAAATGGGGAATAAGAACACGAAAACCTACTTCCTCCCGTTTCAGGAGCCTGAGCCTCACACTTGTTTGCGTGATCCCTGGGAAACGAGCTGACGTGTGAGGTACCACAGGTCTGCACGGCATCTGGGTGAGGTTTTTCTTTCAAGGAAGCAGACAGCAGACAGCTGCCGGGCCAGCACAAGGCACGGGTGGCACCCACACCACACTCACCTCCCACGTAACCTCTGAGTCTCTTTTACGTTGCCCCCACTTGGAGGAGCAAGGTCAGAGAAGCAAGCTCTGCTTAGAGAGGGCAAATCCCCGGGGAGCTCGAGGGAAGAGCTTTACCTGTTGGGCCCCCCGAGGAGGCTGAGCGCCATCTGACTTGCGCACACCCCCGTCATCTCCAGCCTGCGCTCCAGAGTCAGCCCGTGCTTCTCGGCCACCGACAGCAGCTTTTTGTGCAGCTCGTAGGACACGCTCGGAACCACCAGCCCGGAGTCTAGGATTCAGAGAGGGGAGGGAAGAAGACAAAGACACGATCAGAGACGCTTCCCAGGACGGTGCAGCCTGGTAAGATTTCATATGGCAGCACTTGGAAAAGGCTTCAGCAATCCTGGATCCTGGTCTGCGAGCCAGGAACCGCTCCAGCACACGGCTGAGGAGGCAGACAGACAAACAGACAAGGGAGGTTTTGTCAAGCACGGAGAGCAGCACCTGCAGGAGGATACAATTCTTCTGCATTTCTGGCCAATTCCTTACACGCTCCTTCTCCAGGCAGGCCAGCCTGGCATCGACTTCACAAATCAACCCTGCAGTAAACTCACCTGGAAATAAACACAGAGGATTCCCTGCCCCAAGAAAGCAGCCTGCTCAGAGGGGAGCCACAGCACTTGCTTGGTGGCGTGCTCAGTAGCAGAGGACAAGGAACCCTGAGCACTATTTCCAGTTACATGGAGAGAAGAGTGCAAAAGCTAAGTGTTGGGTGAGAAAATTGCTGCTGCTGCAGCCAGCAAGACACCCCTGAATACCTTCAGCCACAGATACCACCTCTTTAATCCAACGTGAGTGGCTGCCCAGGTCACTCACGAGCACTGCTCTGAGCCCAACAAGCAACCCCAGCAGCGTCCAGCTGAGCGAGGGCTCTGGACGTACTGGGAAACAGGCTGGTAGCTCCTGCTCTGTGGGACAGGCAGGAAAGGTGCAGGGGGACAGGCACAAGGGGTGGAAAAGGGTTCAGGACTCAGACTTCTGCTGCAGCTCAGGCAAACAGCAGAGCATCACCAGCTGCTCGCCCTATAAACCAGCACTGACTGGGGCCGTACTGGCATTTTTGGTGCCCAGGACCTCATTACAGAGCCGGTTGTTTACAGAAGCGAAGGCAGAAAGCTGCTTCAGCTCCGCTGGAAATTCTTTGCAAGACTTCCTCGCTCACGTTTCAGAGAGAAGAGCTGAGCAGAGTCACAGCAATAATAAAGGCCCGGTGAAAACGCTCTGCAGCGATAGGGGTTCAAAGGGGAACAGCCACAGCGCACATCCGCTGAGAGGAAACCTAGCAGTTACTCACAGGCTCGGGCTCCTTTGCAGAAAAAGAGCATGAGAACCAGCGGTAACGAGCAGTTGCCACATTCAAATGAGAAAGGCAAGGCAAGGCGCACTGCTAATCGCAAGGGATTCTCATTTGTACTGCCACGCTTCCTCGGGGTGCTGGTCACAAACCACTAAGCCGAGCTGCCGCGGTAACGGCAGGGTCTGTGCACCCTGAGGTTTTTGGAGCACGTGGCAGGTATCCCTGCGAGGTATCAGCACATCCCGCCTGGCTGCTCCGCTGAATCCCTCCGGCTTTCGTCTCCGAGCTCGCCAGCCGAGGGCTCCGCAGCCACGGAGGGACCAAACGTGTTCAAACACTTGACCTCGCATGCTAACAGCCGATTAAGCTACCTCTGCTAATAATCTTTTATTACATGCAGCACACATGCAAGCATGCACATTATCAAAGTCATTTCAGGCTCCTGATAGCAGCCGCCGAACGTTTGGAGTCATAAGCCACTAATAATCCTAAGCCTGTCACACCAGTCACGCACCTGCCCGCCGTTCACACACCCTCTTAGCCTCCGGAGTCACGCAAGGCTCAGCTTGGGCTCGTTCCCATTCACATTTTTGCTCCTTCCCCAGGCTGTGTTTCTCAAGCCGGAGGGAGGGCTCAGAACCAGCCACCTGAGGTCAGGGTGTCGCCCGGCAGCTTGGCGAGGCGCATCCTCTGCTGACACAAAGCGAGGGACCCGCAGAGGGGGTCTGCTCAACCAATTCCCTGTTCAACCTTTGCACAAGGATGTGGAAGAGCCAGCTTTTGGTCCTCACCTACCTGGTGCAGTGCCACCATCTCCAGCTCCTCCTCTCCCGGCACCGCGAGGTTTCACAGCTCCCACCGGCCGGAGGAAACCCAGTGCCCAGTGGGTTAATGCAGAGGGGCTTACTGGCACGGGAGGGGCTTGTATTTAGTGTGCTACACTTTGTCCTAATTGCTCCCTCTCAAGAGCAGGCTCTGATGCCAAGAGAACTTCCCTTCTCCGCGCTCACGCAAGGGCCGACCAGTCAGACGGGCTTATCGGAGCCAGGCCGAGGGAGTTAAACAAACTCGGGCAGAAAGCAATCCAGGAGGTGACGTGTAAAGCCACAAACAATAACACGGCTGCAACAGAACTGAACCCCTGCCAACTTTAATTATGTTTGGGTTGGACAGCGCGTCTTTATTGTTTGGTAATGGAGGCAATAAAATAAATTAGCTCGGGCCTTTTAATATTAAATAAATGTATTTTACAGCTGCCTGGGAAAAAAAAGATAAAGACTGAACAGTTTTGTGACACGCAGGGCATTGCTGAGGCCTGATTACACACCAAGTGCACTCGGCTTACGGGGCACGCTGTGCCCTGAGCACAAACAAGTCACCTCCTTGAGCTCCCCCGTGCCACGCTACACTCACAGAGGCTGCAGGAAAACCACCCCCGTGGCCGCAGGACCATGCAGCAGCGACACGAGGCGGGTGCAGCCCGCGTGCATTTGGGGCAGACGGGATATCCCTGGGCTGTTTGCTGCCCTGTGCTGGCTGCAAGGCTGGAGCCACCTGCCTGCGGCCTCAGGAAAACACAACTACTTGCCCCACACATTGCTCCAAATGGGAATCATCTCCCCCACAACTTTAATGATGATTAAAAAAAAAATCAGTCTAGCCCTTATTGTTAATTAGGGCACATTCTGTGGAAGCTCTGGCTGCCATCCCAACGTAACCTCTCCCAGCATCAACGCACAATCCACATGGGCTGAGCAGCAGCTTTGCCCCATAACTGTGGTTGGGTGAAGTTAACTTCACCTGCACCCTACTCAGAGACCCCAAAACACTACCCACATTCACGATACGCAGTCCCTGAGCCAGTCATCCACAGCCTGAAGAGCTAAAAGCTGAGAGAAAAGGACGTGGCACAAGAAAAGCCACGCTGCCTCTGTCACCACGCAGGACAGAACCAGCCCCAGCTCTGGAGCCCGGCCCCCTTTGCACCGATCTGCCCCGACACACGCGTTTTCTTCCTCCACCTCCTTACCACGTGGAAAAGGAGTTTCTTGAAGGACAGGCCTGAAGTGTGGGTAGGGAAAACACAGAGAAACAAATATCAACTCTTGGCCTGATATTTGAGCTTGAACTTGATACACAGATAGCTCAAATTTCTCCTGCAGCTGAGCTGGAAACAAATCCCGCTTACTTTCCAGAAGAGGCACTGCGATGGCAACAGCTCACATCCCACAGCACCAGCGGTATCTGGAAGAAAACCCACTTTGGACAAAGCCTCAGCAGCACTGCAGGGAAAGGAAGGAATACCTCATCCACCTGGCATACAGCCATCCTCTACTCATCCCGGCATGCCCCTGAAGGTGCTGCTTCAGCAACATCCACTGCTCGCCAAGCCAGGCTTCGGGCGCAAGCCCACTGCGTGCACCTGTGCGAAAGCAGGAAGATGGGGTCTTGTGGGGTGCGAGGATGCCTCCCATCAAACTGGGATGAAAAGGGAGATTTTGATTCGGTTTAATCATCATGAACCAGAACTCCCGGTACGCGTGTGGCATGTGCTAGCAGTGATTAAGCACAGTTAGGAGGGAAGAAGAGAGAAATGCAAAAGGAAAGTTTGGAGAGCCCGATACGCCTGAGATTACACAGAGCCACCGATGGTGAACCGAGGCACTCCACCCTGCCAGGAACTCCTCTGAGCTCACACCCCCACAGAATGTTGGTGTTGTGGCTACTGCTGGAAGACCTGACCCCAAAGCACTGTCTGAACACAGCGGTGTCAGCGCTGGTAACCAGCAGAAGGACAGAGAGGCCCCCACCAGCCCACGTTTCAGCTCTCTAGCTAGACGGCTCCAGGAGCAGAACAGACAGCTCACCCCTCATGAAAGCATCACCAACCGGCCTTGCCAGGGAGGCAGATGTTTGTTAAAACAGTTGCACTTCCCCTTTTCAATGCAGCTTAATGGTAAACAGAGACAGATCAACAGGCCCCAGCCCCAGAGAGGACAGAGCAGTGAAATACCAGGGAACAAGGCACACGTGGAGCCCCCAGAAACGGGCACGAGTTGGTCACCACCAGAGAACTGCCAAGCTCTCAGGTTCCAGCTCTCATTTACATTGGGAGCAGCTCCCCACCTTCATTCCCACTCTCTCCACCATAATCCCCTCCTCCAGACCTCTGGGCAGACACCCAGCGCTATTTCCCCTCTTCCTGTCCATCCCAGCATCACCTTCTCGAGCCAGCAGGGCAAACCCCAAAGCATTTCACACCGTGGGAACACCGAGGTAGCCTCCAGCATGCTGGTGAAGTCAGGAGTGTGCTGAATGAGGAATCCACATCAGCCCTCTCGTGCCCATTCTTGCCATTCTCCCTGCACAACTCATCCTTTCCTCGTCAGGAAAGCGGGCAGCAGCACGGGAAGCTGCCCTCTTGCCCTGTACAGTCTGACCACGTTTTGTCTGGGCCAGACAGAAGTTTCACGCCACGGAGGATGGCACACGGCCTGCGAACAGGGGATGCGCTGAAGGACCAAGCAGCCCTCAGCATTTCCAGGATCATTTCAGGCACAAAATACTGTAAAGACAGCAGGCAAAGGAGGGAAGAAAAACTGCCTTTCCCAAGTTCTTGTTTGCCAAGACTGACCTGCAGGCTGTCTGGGATAACCGTGTTAACCTCTGGGACGGTAAGAAAGAAAAATCGCACAGGGACCCAAAGAAATACAAACCCAAGCTGCTTTCATCCAACCTCCAGTGCTGAATTTGAGCCAAAAGCCTCCGCAGACCCAATGACTTACTGCTCTACTTCCGAACATACTAGCACACACACTTGAGTGCCTGGCACCACAAAATTAGCTCTCCAAGAAGCATCTTGAGGGACTCGAGTGCCTGTCAAGCTTTGCTTACATCCCACACGGCTCGGCTTCTTTCAGCCGGCAGCCACCACGCAGATTGGGAGCCCTGCGGATTCAGCTTTTGGAGGACGGGCACCAGCACTTTGCTGGTTTTCCTGCTGCACGGGTCTGCTTATTTCCGAGCTCCATGGAAACACGGCATAAAAGAGCATGCGAGGATCCCACAGACCTTTCTCCTCTCCCACGGTGACAAGAGCTGGATGTTAGCTGGCTGTCAGTCACCAAGCAGCATCACTCTGTGGGATTACAGCAGACAGAACGATTAGTCTGTCCGCCGGAGCTCTTTTAAGACACTCATCTTCAAGACTGGCCTAGGGAAGAAATATAAAGTACTTATTTCCCCTATAGCTAATAAAATGTGTTTTGTTTTGTGTTTTGCTGTTTTGTTTTTTTCTTCCAGAGATCCCTATAGGAGTCTAAAAACAACTCCACAAAGAGAATTCAGAATAATAAGAAGAAATCCTGTGACAGATATACCCAGAATAACGGCATTCAGGGCTGTTGGCACTCTCAGCTAATTTCTGCAGCTGCCGCTCTCTGAGCTGCTGAGAGAGGCAGCCTGCCTGTAGCTCAGCATCCTCCTCCCAGCTGCTAAACAAAGAGATCTGGGCTTTTCGAGTGACAGCCCCTCACTGCCCAAGCACACTGACCATCCCTCTGTCCTTCTGGCTACAGAAGGCTGAAGGCTGGCAGCAGCAGGCCAGTTACAGCTGTTTACAAGAGCTTTTGCTAGGCGGCCCGAAGCATTTCCAAAGCAGAAGCAAACTTCCTCTGCTGACACAAAGGAAGCCGCCCTCTGTGGGAACACCACTGATACGCAGCGGTGGGACCCTTCTAGCACCGCTCGCAGGACTGGGGCCGTGCCCTGCTGGGCAGGAGCAGCAGGGAGCAGTGGTTGGCAGTGCCCATAACACAACAGATTCTCCTCCAAACCCATCTAGAACCCACCTGGGAGTCTTAGCACCCCCCAGGAGTTAATGAGGCTGGCAAGACCCCGCAACTACAAAGGAGAGGGGTTTGCCACCTCCCTGGGCGGGCTTGCCAAGAGCAAAACAAGCCAAGAGCAGCCCTGTCAGCAGGCTGCAAACAGGGAGCCAGGAGCTCCCATAGGAAAGGACAACGCAGTTTAGCCAACAACTCCATTTCCATCCCCTGAATTCTGTCCTGGTGCTTACTGGTTGTTGCACAACGCTTCTCCAGGAACCCTACTTCTAGAATCCTGCATCAGCTGTACTTCTCCAACTGGCAGCTAATGCTTGGGTAGCTTTTGTTTCAGACCCACACAGAGGCCCTGGCTCCTCTGGAACATGCCAGCTGGGAGATGAATTGACAAGTAGCCAGTTTACCACCAAGAAAAGCTCACACAAAAAGGAAGAAGTACTTATTCACACAGTCAGCTGCGGGAGCTTCATGCCGCAGGATGCTGCAGCAACACAGAGTTTGCACAGGCTCAAAGAGGAATAGGTTAAATTAAGCAGAAGGAAAAAAAAGTCATCAAAAGCTCTTAATACTAAAATACCACTTCTGCTTCAGGAAGTCTTAAAATCATCAAAGAGAGCGCTCAGGGGAAAGTCTCACCACATGCTTCCTCCGGTCTTTCACTTATCCTTAAGTAGCTGCTGGAATCAGAACACCGAATCGGACGAGTTCAGAGCGACCCAGGACATTTTTACCTGGATCAGAACGGATCAGCAGGGCAACAGAGGACACAAATGGAAAGCCAAGCTACCGCTGTACAGCAGAACCATTAAGAACTGACATTGTTTAATTGCACAGCAGCCAATCAGTGTAAATCAGCTTCCTTCCACCAAGCACTTCACACCCCGCTGGAGTTTCTGAGAGGAGAACGACAGAGCAGAAGGAATGACAGACCAGGGACCTGCTTACCCTCGTGCCCAGCACGCAGACCACCAGGGTGCAGCACTTCAGTGTCTCTCTACAAAAAGACCTGAAATTTGATTTTATTCTGACATGGAAAAGAAACGTTGCTGGGATGCTGAACTTCCTTTACTGCTACGTTTTGCAAGTGCTACAAAGGATGCAAGCTGAGGGCAGGGCACCACACCTAGACTGAAGTTACAGGGAACACGTACAAAGAGCAGCATGAAGCGAACACGCCATGCCTCATGGCACGTGTATAAGAAGATTCCTAACAGTCAGCCCCTCACACAAACCCTTCTGCATACACCAGGCTTGCAGGCTTTGGTTCTTTCACACAAACACCACACAGGCAATAGAGGCAATGGGGAACCAAAACCCCCATAAAAAGCTATTTGTACACGAGTGGTTGGAAATACGGACGGGAAGAGCCAGAACCATTTCTCTTCATACCACCGACATTTAAAGTTCCTTACAGCCACACAGAAGTCTCTACCTGCTGCCCGAGCAGCACCAGGAACTCCTGCAGTCCCCTGCCTTCTACCAAAAGAGCAGGAATTACGACACGCTCCCGTATGCTGGAGCCCCAAGAAGAGCCCTCCTTGCCAGCAGTCAAGCCCACGCACGCTCGTCATGCCACTGAAATCACAGCACGGGTTCAAGTGGTTCCACTTGGGTTTCTGTTCTTTTTAATGCAACCTCCAGCTTCGCCCCTCCCTGCAAACAACTTACCTCGTTGCCCTATCTGAGCATTTCTGACCTCAGAAATATGGCAAATAAAGGTTGTACGGAGACGCGAGGCACGGATCCGACCTTACACACGAGGATGGCCCCTGCTCATACCCCGTTACGCTGACAGACACCCCCAGGGGAAAAACAATCCACCACATGTGCCCCAACAGAGCTGCAGAGTGTGCATCCTTATCAGTAAGGGATCTGGCATACCAGTGCAGAACTCTTTGTTCGCGTTCTGGGGTACGACAATCCGTCTGTAGACGATGGGCTCCGACTCCAGGATGTTCTCGTCGTGCCGGTAGCGAGCCGGCTTCTCGCTTGGGGTGCCCCGGGAGCGGGTGCCGCTCCGCCTCTCGTAAGTCTCAATCTCTTCAAACACAGCTGCCTTGTCGAAAAGGGCCAGGTTCCCCTCGAAATCGAAATCCGTGTCTGGGATTTCATCGATGTCGTCCCCGAAGCACTCATCGTCTTTGCTCTTCATCTGCCCATTTTTCAGGCCGCTCTTCTTCGGGGTCACCTGGTTCGGGTGGCGGCTGCTGGACGACCCTAAACAAAAATACACGCAAGTTGAAAATACACAAATGGAAAAAAATGTGTCATCAATGGACAAAACCATGTTTCTTGCCTGCTTTCTCAGGAAGTTTTGTAAGAGGAAAGCTCGCGTTTGGTGTCTATTGACTCAAGGGATTGTTGCTTCCCAATGAACCTGCAGGCCTCGTCTTTAGCTTATCTGGGCGTGAGTAACGCCAACAGAAAATCCAACGCGAGGCACCGGGAAAGAGATTTCAGGGACTTTCCTCTGGCAAGGGCAGGAAAAAAAAGCTCGACCCCAGTAGCAAAATAAACATTTCTGCTCATTTAACGTAAGAGAGCGTTATGTTAGTGTTGAGGTATTGAGCAAGCCCTGGGCTAGGGCTGCACTATTCCTGCTGCACTGGGCTTGTGTTTGTGCAGGCATGTGGCCCAAGACTGCCATGGAATTTCCCTAAATTTCAGAGGCTACCATGGGTGTTTTCTTCTGAAACAGGTAAGCCACCTACTGATGGAGAACTTAAGCCCCTGAAAGTATTTCTCTCTCGTTCGCCATCAGTAGGTGTGTATTTCTGTAAGCCAAGATGAAGTCCTTTCCCTTTCCCATATTGCATTTTTCTACTAATTCATCATATCACACATTTAAGGGGAATTATTTCCAATCAGTAACCATGCCAGCCAGATTTCCCTCACATGAAGTTGAAGAAGTCTCACTCTGAGGGCTGGTACAAACCCAAACGCAGTCACAAGGCTGACATACCCCGTTATTCATTTCTTACATTATTCTGCAGGTCACCCACATGCAGTCAAGACCAGACGACGTTAACCTGTTAGTTATACCCATCGTTAAACCTGCCGACACTAGGAAAGATTTCAGGCCCATTTCAGCAATTAGTTATCACCTCCACTGCCCAACAGATGGAGTAACTGTTACCACACCAGAAGCGTTTGCTTCCCTGACATATTTCTCATGTTTTAGGAGAGATTTTACCCCCCTGAATGTTATTTATACAGATGAGCTTGCGGACAGAACCTGTTTGCTGACACACAACCAAATCACCACCAAGTCACCAAGATGACATGTGCCTCTCATCCATCACCCCGCACACAGCTCTGGCTGAAAAAGCAACTTTTTTTGTTTTACATGTTATTGGCAATCAATGAAAGGGCACAAGAAGAACTTCAAGTCATCTGAGGATATTTAGAAATCAACCCCAGAAGACCTGCAATACGCCAAAGCTTTGTGGTGTCCCACGAAGTTACCTGTTTGCCTCAGAAGCACAGACAGGTCCAGCTTGGTCTTGGCAGACCGCTTTCTCTCCCACCAAAACTCATCTCTCACTTCCCCCATTTCCCAGGTGTGAAGTCCTGTGCTCCAGCAACAGAAGAGCACGTCACCTGGACAGCAGAGGAGCCTGGCCCCAGCTCCTGCAGGAGCACTCACCCGTTTCAGAACCAGGGCAGGAACCGGTCTGTTCGAGGCCAACGTGCCGATTTTGGCTGAGGTAACGAGCAGAACTCATTTCTCCACCACAAAGTTACTCAGTAGCTCAATTACACCACTTAAATTGCAGCAGTTAGCTCAGAACATTCACATTTACCCAGACCCTCCAGAGAAGAGGCCATAAAAAGCAGCTCCCTCCACTTTCCCTACCCAGCTGAGGCTCTGCAGCCCAGAGCAGGGAACCTCTTCGTGGAAAGCAGCCTCGCCTGGGACTCCCAGGTGCTTACTGAGGACTTTGTCACAGTAAAACAAATTTGTCAGAGCTCACCATGAGCTCCCCTAACACCACGTCTAACTTATCCCTGGAAAGTCACGGTGCAGCATGGAACACCTCACTGCTTTTATTCTGTTAGGAAAGCTTTGTCTCAGGAAGGATTTTCCCTCTTGGTTAGTTTTCCCCCTATTTTAGGCAGCCCGTCACTTGTTTCTGCTGCTGAGGTGACTCACCCAAAAGCTTTCCCAGCCCCCACAGCAGGGATGCTCTTTGAAACAGTCAGCAGAGTACCTCAAGAACCTGAGCTGAACTAAATAGACCTCAACGCTCTCAAGCAGCTCCAGTCTCCAACCACACAGCAATTCACGAGTCCTGCAACAACTGAGAACGCAGGCAAGCCAGAGGCCAGCACTTCACACCTCGAAACGAGGGTGACAAGACCCCAAACCTTCCGAAGGCTTCATGGAGCCCTTCTTCCTTGTAAAGAAACAAAGCAAATCCCTTTCCAGTGACCACTTCCCTGCAGCCTGCAGGATTTAGGCTAACCTCCCCGTGCCAGAACCCCACCGGCCGTAGCACAAAGCCGCTTCAAAGCTGCTGCTCTCAGCACGAGGGCCAGTCGGAAACATTTCTGCTGTGCACGCTGGGGCAACCGAAACCAGCGCCGCGGCGTCATGCGGTCAGCGTCACCACACTTTGTCAGAACTCTATTTCTGGAGCCTATTTATAATTATTTGAAATTATTACTAATTATAGCAGGCAGCTCATTTTCAGACGCAGTGATTCTCAAGCTGCTCCGGACTTTGGAGTTTTTATAAACAGCTGGGTGAGAACAGACTGCTGCAATGCACCTTTTGTCAAGAAGGACAGAATTCAAGGATTTCTAGCAAATGAACACAGCCTGGGGGAGGGAAAGGGTGAGGCCTCCTGGCAAGGAGGATTTCAGCCCAGGAGCTGCGACCAGGCATTCACACGTACAGCTTTGAGAAAGGGAAAGCTTTTCAGTAGCCCCACTGATTCCCAAACCAATGGAGGCACACCAAGCGCTCCGAAGTTGCACACAGCTTGGGCTGGAGCTGGCGGCCAGCACCACACACAGCTAACGCTGCCGCTAAAAGCGGCACGAGAAACAAAAGCCCAGAGCTACACAGCTGGCTGAGCCCTCCAAACACTTCCCTGACTGCCAGGCGAAGCAACAGGCGAGGGACTCCAAGTTCAGATGAAGAAGCTGGAGCCTGCTCCGAGCACAATGGGAACAAGCCTGCCTCTTGTGCAGCTCTCCAGTGTTTTGGCAACTCCGTTCCTGTTCCCCAACAAGAGTTCTACACCGGCTGCCAGGTTCTTCTGCAAACAACTCCGCTCTCCCCTCAGCTGACCTGCGGAACAAAACATGGGGCCGGCAGCATCACCACGCGATGGGCCCAGGGGAGAGAAGCAGCTGATGCGAGCAGCATGCAAATGCTGACAGACCCAAACGGCGCGTTAGGAAAGCTGCAGGAACAATGGCTGGAAAGCTCCCGGGCTCCCTGCAGACACAACGACTGGGAGCCAAGAGCAGACCTCATCAAATCGAGATGTGCTGGCATTGTCCCGGGCAGCTCGCTAATGCGGCGGGTGCCAACCCCACCATCCTGCTGACCCACCCGAGGGGCTGCGTTACCCCATGGAGCAGGGGAAAACTCAAAGAATATGAGAGAGAAGGCCAGCAGGAGGATCACTGCCTTCCAGGGCTACCGAAACCCAGAGCTCCCAGCCCAGCTCCTCCATCTGTGCACGGCTTGCTAAGGAGAATAGCACACGGCTCCCCATCAAGCTGGCAGCTCAGCACTGCACAGAAAAGTGCCTCCCTCTAAACAATACTTCCCAAATTTTTTTTTTCCATCGGAAAAAAAAACCTCATGTATAGCACACGAGCAAATGTAAAGTCTCTAGCGAGTTGGCTGCCTTCCTGTGAGATCCCTGCGGGAGCTTTTACCGCCAGCCCTGGCATGAACGAGCCCCGTGCCAGCAGGGCACACAACCCATTGTTGTGTAATCTGGGCTGCTATTTGTTGTTTATTGATTTCTGTCACACAAGTGCTCCGAGGGGGAACTTTGTCCCTGACTTAGCACGCTAAAGGGCACCGAGAGGTTAGCTTCCAGCCCAGGCACCGCACAGCTTCAGGTCAGGCTGACATCACAGCCCGGCCTTGCCTCGATTCCTGCAGCCGCCACCTCTTCTGTTCCACGCTGGAGCCTTTCAGGCATCGCTTGCCTTGCTCTCCACGCACACTGCAGAGAGCAAGGGTTCAATTTTCTACCTCATTTACGGTCTGCACCTTGCTCAACCTGTTTCAGATTTTCTCTTACAGGCTTTGACCTGCTGTCAGGCTTCTGTAAAACTGCTGCGAGCTGCTGGTGGGCTGAAGGGGTTTGAAAGGCTCGCTGCTCACCCCACACCTACCAGGTGCTGCCTGAACAGTGCTACACGAGGTAATCCAGCTGGACTCTGCCCAGCAAGAAGAAAGCAAAGCAGGGGTTACTTCAGATAACCAGGTAGCTGGCAGCGTAGTTTGAAAAGAGTTTTTCCTCAAAACATGCCTTCACCCCCCCCCCCCCCATCTTTCTGGCCTTCCTCCTCCTACCAACCCTGCTTGGCCATCACTTTAAAACAGAAGGGAATAAGAAACTTAAGAATTTGTCCTTCTGAAAATTTAAAACAAAAGGCTGCTCAACCTTGTAAACTGATTTAAATTAACAGAAATCAGAAGAGCTGCAACTGTTTCAGAAAATGAGAGCTGTTGGTGGGGGAGGAAGACTTCCAGAGGCCCAGGAAGTTCTCCAGATAAGGCGCAGCCTTTGATCTCGCTGTTTAATTGGCCCTGCTCACCTTGCTTTCATTTCTTTTCAAGACAAAACAAAAAAAAAAGGCAATGGAAAGAACTAAATCATGGAAATACGCTTGATATGTCCTGATGCTTCAACATTTGAGTCATGAACTACACTAGATGTATCCTGATGTTTCAATAATTGCAGCCCAGGGGGCTCCAAGGGCAAAAAAAAGCGAGCACAGCCAGCCTTGGCACAGCGTGAGGGCTGGCTGGAGATTTATGATCAGAAATAAAAATAACGGATGCCTGGCTTTGAGACGTGCTGATCCTATCTTCACATCATCCTCACTAGAGCGCGTTAATTTGTGTTTTTTTTAACCAGCGCAGCACAGCAAATACCGTTTGTAATGACTCGTAGGGGGCTGTTGTGATAGGTCATGGTTGTGCGGGCTTTAAATAGAAAAGGTTTGCAACATCATCAGTTGTTTCTAGTTCCTTGTAGAGGAAAAACAGGCTGGCAACTGGGCCATTTTCAATCAGGAAGCACAAGAGGAATGAGGAACTCGTATGAACTAGCACTATTCAGTTCTACATTTCGCAGCCTTTGATGCTGATGAAGCAGATTAATGCGCGGGGTGAGATCTCCACTAATTAGATTTGAAAATTCACTTTGACAAAGAAATGGTTGAAGAACTGACTTTTTACATAAACAGGCGTCAACCACACTTCTCTGAGAAACGCTGCAGCAAAGAAAACACCAGCGTGTTGCTCTTTGCACGCTCAAGAGGGGCTGCTCTCCAGCAGACTGAAACAGGGATGGCTAAAGAATTACACAGCAGCAACACGGCAGAACTGCAGTCCCACTGATAAACAACTGCCTCCTTTCCACCCCGTGCCCATACACCTTTTCCCTGTCGCCTCCTGTAGTGGGTTCCCTCTTCTTTTCAGCCCAACCTCTTAACCTTACACCAGTAGGTTAAGCAACAGGAGAGTTTTTGTGAACATTCCTCTTTATTCTACCTCGTTCACAATAGAGGCACAGAACAGTCTGCAGCATTTCGAAGTTCTGAGGTTCTCCTTCAACAGCCCTCGAGAGGGGAAAAGAGTTTCAACTCAGGTTAGCCCTGGAAAGCTCGTCAAATTCCCACACCACAACCAACATCAGATCCAAAATGCTCCTGAACCAAATAAACAAAGTCACGTACGTGGTTCCTTCTTACCTGTACGATTCTGAAGGTTAGTTTGGACAGACACACTTCTGAAACAGCGAGCACCATGCCTGTGTGCAGCCTAAGTAACACTGGCCTTTACTGACAAATGACAGCACTGTGAATTCTGCTGCAGCCCTCCCAGCCTGCAAACCAGGCTCACTGCACACCTGAGTTAAAGCTCCCTGCTCTCACTACTCAGCTGAGCAGCACTGACTTCTGTGTCCAGCAGGAAAGGTGTTTCACCTGGAAACAGCAGCAAGGAAGGGTAGGGAGCATCTGCCTCCAAAGAACTCTTAGCAGCAGTGCAATAGCAACAGGGACAGCAGAGAAGCAGCTCTGCACAACGTTCCCTGCTAGCCTTTCGGTAAGGTAGCTGCAAGCTTACAGAAACAGAACGTCTTCTGTAAACAACATAAAAAGTAAAAACAACCACAGCAAGCCAGCAATGACAGATCAGACCCAACAGCCTGCTTCAGCTGATGACACTCACCCAACGAAGCGTTTTGGATCACTGTACTGGGCTTGTTGTGCAGTACCCACACCTCTGTTTGTAAGGCAGGTGCTGCACGTTTTAGTGACGCTGTCTGTATGCTCATCCCAGGTTCTGGCAGAGGTTACATCACCTCACTGTACAACGTCAGGCACGTGCAAGACCCTCGGAAGATCTATACTGGTAAAATCCAGCCCTTCAGGTGGCAACACACGTACAAAAGGAAACAAACCTAAGTTTCCAGACCCGTTTGAGATGTTTTAGCTGAACTCGGGCATGCACTGCAGCAGCAACCCGGGCGAAGAGGAGAGCTGCAGAACACAGAACACATACTCACAGGAATTGTGCCTACGCCGAAAGCCTTTGGACTGAGTCAGGGTTTCCACGTGCCGATCCATGTAGCTCTTGGAGCACTGCTGCTGGGGCGAGATGATGATGTCCTGACTCTTCATGTCCGTCCTCCTGGGGATGTTCTGTGGGGCGCTGCTGCACATGGGCTTCTTTAACATCTTGCCGGTGCCGTTCTGGCTGGGCCCCACCTGGCAGCCGACCCCCGGGATGCCCAGTTCTGTCTGCTGCAGCTCCCCGCATGGTCTGCTGTCCTCCGGGCCTGGGATCTCCAGAATCTTCAGCTCAGTGATGTCACCTGCCCTAAAAAAACAAAAGGAATAGAAAAACAGACATTCAGGAACTTGGTGTTCAGGGTACTTTTAAAGAAACAGCCTTGAAAGAAAATCATGCAACATTAACCAGAGGTTTTTGGATGTCATAGTCAATAAAACAAAGGGCAAAAAACATTTTAATACTCAAACACAGGCTACACGTCAGGCATTGAAATATTCACCTGAAATTACATAAACTTTAAATAAAATCTCGAGTATTTCTAAACTGCACCTGGATTTGGTGTAGGTTCTGTCCCTAGCTGAAGCAGGGATTGGTCAAGCAGAAAATTGAAGCAGCCAGCACAGATCTTTGAGAAAGCCTGCGTTAATTCAGCAGTTTCTAGCTATTATAATTAACCTCAGCCTGGAGGGTGCTACTACTTTTAATCCCTTCCTACATAAAGCTCTCCTTAAATTAGTGCTATTCGTGCTCAGACAAGGGTGTGCTCGCTGTTTCTCAAGACACAGGATGAAAAAAAAAACAACACAGCACTGAGCACGAGCCAAAGTGAAACAAAGAAGTGGTCACGAAGACCTCCTCTCCTCCATCTGCACTGACTGCAAGACAGGAACCAGAAGTTGGGGTGTTCAATTTAACCTTTTAAAGTGTGTGTCCAACTGGGATATAAAACTAACAGCCTGGAAGTTAGCAAGAGCCCTGAAAGAATCATCCTTCCAACTCTCTTCAAAAATCAGAGTTTTCTAGGAAAAAAAAGGATTCCCTGCAGTCAGCACTTGGTCTTATTTTTAAAATCGGGGACTCAGGCACTTTGCTGTCGTGACATGAAAGGTGCAGAGGTAACAGGAAAGTGTCCAGTGACAAATGACTCCTATTTATTGTTTTTTTTGAGCGCAGCGTTAGCAGGAGCTGGTGGGAAGGGACTCAGGAGAGCCACAACAGCACTGCACTGACCCAGCGCCCTGGTCCCAAACCATTCCCTGTCTGCACGGAGGAAAGAACACAGGGAGAGAAAGGAGATGGCTCTGGATTTAACCACTGCATGTAGTTTACCTGTGCTGGCCATCATTTTAAGTGGCCCCCTCTGCTTTCCCTGACACTTTAATAACACGTGTTGCTGAGGGCACAGCATGAAGAGTAAGTCAATCACTTAATTACCCAAAAAGTGCACACACACACACAGAATACACAGAAAATACCCACACAAATATACTCACACATGCGCACACAGATCCTCACAGCACTTCTAACTGAGCAGAGACCAGAAAAAGCACCCTTCTGCACACAAGCTGAGAGAAACGACAGTGGTGCTTCTCACCTGAAGCTGCTCAGTAGCAGGAGGGAGATTTAAGGCACAGAGCACATTTCTGAGGGAAAACGACCCAAAATATCCACCCAGACTGGCAAACGCAGGAGAAATACCACCACTAACCTGAAGGTGACTTCTGGCACGAGGCACTTGACCCCATTGTGGAAGGGCCGGGTCAGGGAGATGGTCTGGCTGACCTGGTCCACGGCAGACACTCGGCCCTGGTAGACGCCCAGGCTTTCTCCGCAGTTGATGGACACGATGCTCCCCAGCCAGTCCGTAGCCATGATCCCGGGACTCAAAACCTGCAAAGAGGCACAGGCCTGGCTGTAAGGTGAGGGAACAACAACCCGAATAACCTCCGCACGCAGCAACACGTTAAAGCCCTGCGCAGGGCTCTGCCTGCATGTTTGGAAGCCCTGCTGCTGTTTGCATGACTGAAGAAATAGTTCGGTAGCAGATTTCGAGGCTTACAGCTTCCAAACAGAGCCCTGAGCTTTGCCTGGGTACGTTCTCTCTGGAGCTTCAACCAGGGCATTTTCCCTTCCCTCTGTAAAGCTTTGGCGTGCACACAGCAGAGCAGAACAGCTTTTGTGAGCGCTTAGCAGTGAGGGCACTGACCTCAGCACCTCCAAATTAAAACCAGCACCTTAAGGAGCACAGACAGGTGCAGAGGGGGTAAGAAAACAATGCTGGAGCCCAGCACAGCAGTCTTTGTGCTGTCCAGGGCCAGGATTAGCATTGCTGTCACAATGTGATGGCCAAACAAAGCCACGCTGCTTTCTAGCACCTGCACCAAGCTCCAGAAAGGACACAGCTCTGGGAAGGTGACAGCCTCGGTGGCACCACAGGAGAGCTGACAGGCTCACGGGAGAGAACAGCCACTGCATGTTATCTGCCTCTCGTGCCATCCCCCTCGGGAAGAGGGAACACGCTGGGAATTCACTCAGTTACGGGGCACAGGGGGGTAGGAAGGCTGGGATGTGACCGGGGACAATCAGCACGTAAAGCACGCTTCTGTGGGAAACATTTCAGGTCTCTTCAGGCTCTTTCTGTCCTGAGCTTTGCAGAAAATAAAGATGCAAGAAAAAACACCTAGAGAGAGCTAGGACACGTGCATGCCACCAGGAACAATAAAAGCTCCCTTCCCCCAGCTTTCAGGAGACTTCAGGAAGAAACAAACTGGGATCTGGTCACCAAGCCACGTGTTCCTCAGGACCAGCCTCCTCCCTTGCCCATTTCTATGTGTCTATATTGACCCGTGACAACACCACCTGGACTCCCAGATGAATATCAATATAGCAGAATTGATAGCAGAATATCAATAATGCATTTTGGAGAACCTGCAGCATGGCTAAAACCTCATTCACTTTCCCACCTTTTGCATCTCTTTGAAAAGGAGGCAAAGGTTTCAGTGCACAGCACCACTTCAAGAGGAACCCTTTAGAGAAGGGCCCCAGCCCTTTACAAATACACAAACAGCTCCCTCTGTGTGCTTGCAAACAAACCCAAAGGAGGGGAACTGCCTCACAGCACCTCGCTCTTGTGCTTGGTCACTTGGAGAAGGAAGGAGCCACGCGGGCAGCAGATGATTTACTCAGGCACAGGTGGGAAACAGGAAAACGTTCGTTTGTTCACCCCGCCTGCGAAGCCAAACCTCCCCCCCAACACCTTCACGTGGCGAGTTACTGTCCGCACGCCCCTTGCATCCCCCCAACCCTTTCCAAGCAGCTGTTAGCGACACCCGTGCTTCGGGAGGGTCTCACAACCCCCGCAGGCTGCCCCAGCAGCCCGTCACCGCCCCGCCCCCCCCAGAACCGAGCCCCTCACAGCGCTGGCTCCGCACGGGGCTGCTCGGCGCGCCGCGGGGACGCGGGGCCCAGCGGGCCGAGACCCGACGGGCCCGAGGGGCGGCCGCAGGGGCTGGGGGAGCCGCGGGGGGCGGGCCCGGGCCGCGAGGGGCCGAGCCGGGGCCCGAGGGAGGCCGGGACCAGGCCCGGGACCAGGCCCGGGACCAGGCCGCGGCCCCCCCCGGCCGCTCCCCTCAGGCCCCGGCCGCCACCGGAGCGGCCCCGCGAGGGTCCCGGCGCCGCGGCCTCGCGTCCCAGCGGCTCCGTGCCAGGCCCGGCCCCTCCCCGGTCCCCTCCCGGCCCCCCGGCCCGGCCCCGCCTCACCTGCGGCCGCCGCTCGTCGCCCGCCGCCCCTCCGCCTCCGCGCCGCCCGCCCGCTACGTCACTTCCTGCCCCGCCGCGCCGAGCCGCTCTAGCTGCCGGAGGGAGATCATAGAGAGGAGTGGAGGAATAGAGCGTGGCGCATGCGCAGCGCGGGGGAAGGGGGCGGGGTGGGAGGGCGGCGGGCACAAGGTGCAGCGCCGAGCGCCGAGGGGCGCATGCGCGGGGCGGGGCTGCTACGTCACACCTCCAGGTGCCTCGGCGGTACCTCAGGGGCGCCTCCATGGCACCCCCGCCATCCCATAATACCTGTGTTACATCTCCATGGCACCTCCATGGCACCCCTGCCATCCCATAATACCTGTGTGACACCCCCATGGCACCTCCATGGCACCCCCGCCATCCCATAATACCTGTGTTACACCTCCATGGCACCTGTATGGCACCCCCACCATCCCATAATACCTGTGTGACACCCCTATGGCACCCCTGCCGTCCCATAATACAGAATCACAGAATCACAGAATTTCTAGGTTGGAAGAGACCTCAAGATCATCGAGTCCAACCTCTAACCTAACACTAACAGTCCCCACTAAACCATATCCCTAAGCTCTACATCTAAACGTCTTTTGAAGACTTCCAGGGATGGTGATTCCACCACCTCCCTGGGCAGCCCGTTCCAGTGCCTAACAACCCTTTCAGTAAAGAAGTTCTTCCTAACATCTAACCTAAAACTCCCTTGGTGCAACTTTAGCCCATTCCCCCTCGTCCTGTCACCAGGCACGTGGGAGAACAGGCCAACCCCCACCTCTCTACAGCCTCCTTTAAGGTATCTGTAGAGAGCGATAAGGTCGCCCCTGAGCCTCCTCTTCTCCAGGCTGAACAAGCCCAGCTCCCTCAGCCGCTCCTCATAAAACTTGTTCTCCAGGCCCCTCACCAGCTTCGTCGCCCTTCTTTGGACCCGCTCAAGCACCTCGATGTCCTTCTTGTAGCGAGGGGCCCAAAACTGAACACAGTACTCGAGGTGCGGCCTCACCAGAGCCGAGTACAGGGGGACGATCACCTCCCTAGCCCTGCTGGCCACACTGCTTCTTATACAAGCCAGGATGCCGTTGGCCTTCTTGGCCACCTGAGCACACTGCTGGCTCATATTCAGCTGACTGTCCACCATCACTCCCAGGTCCTTCTCTGCCTGGCAGCTCTCCAACCATTCCTCTCCCAGCCTGTAGCTCTGCTTGGGGTTATTGCGCCCCAGGTGCAGGACCCGGCACTTGGCCTTGTTGAACTTCATGCAGTTGACCTCAGCCCATCGGTGCAGCCTATCCAGATCCTCCTGCAGAGCCTTCCTACCCTCGAGCAGATCGACACACGCACCTAACTTGGTGTCATCTGCAAACTTACTGAGGGTGCACTCAATGCTCTCATCCAGATCATCGATGAAGATATTAAAGAGGACCGGCCCCAGCACCGAGCCCTGGGGGACGCCACTAGTGACTGGCCTCCAACTGGACTTGACTCCATTCACCACAACTCTTTGGGCCCGGCTATCCAGCCAGTTTCTAACCCAACGAAGCATGTGCCAGTCCAAGCCAAGAACAGACAGTTCCTTGAGGAGAATGCTGTGGGAAACAGTGTCAAAATACCTCCATGATACCTCCACAGTACCTCCATGGTACCTCCCCCATCCCATAATACCTCCATGGCACCTCCACCACCTCCATGAGACCTCCACCATTTCTGTAACACCTGCATGACACCTCTTCCATCTCCATGACAGCTCCACCTCACCCCCATGATCTCCCCAAGACTGGTCACAGCAGGAGGAAGGCTTGTCTCAGAGGATGCAGTGAGGCAAAGATGATTTTATTTTTTTTTTGCTTTCAGTATTTTCTTCCCACACAGGGTCTGGATTCAGTTCTTCACGTGCCAACTGTGATCACTTTTTAAAAAATTTACAAGAATCCCTGAAACACACAAAGCTGCTCATTGTTTGTGTGGCTGCTGTGCGTTTATCACCGCTTTAAGAGGCACCCAAGAAGCTCAGAGCAGCTGGGGGGCACCAGGAGCACCCACAGTCCCTTTGCTGCTTTACAGGGTGGAGAAGACCACCGCACGGGGTTTTTAGGGAAACGCACTGCTGTCAATACCCTGGTCCTCCCCGTACACACTAGGAGGGGACCTCAGCCTTCAGATGTGGCACCGAGGGGCAGGGCTTGGTGACAGGACCCAGGTCAGGTTGGTGGTTGGACTTGATGACCTCAAAGGTCTTTTCTCACCTGGATCACATACCCCCCAAGGACAGGGAAGCTCTCCTTCATGTGAGCATCCCATTTAGCTCCCCCCAGAAGAATCCAACGCAGCCCTGTTAGATCTTTAAGGACAGAGATGTGATTTGTGTCACCCCATCCTCCCCCCAAGAGGAATAAAAGCAGCAAGGAGGAAGAAACTTTCATAAAAGCATTTATTGGGTTAGAAATCCCATGCCATTTCTCTCTGCAGATGGATGCATCTCCATGCAGCCCCCAGAAAGCAGCACAAATTCCTGCTCCATGTGCCAGGAAGACTTGCTCCATGCATCTCCTGCAGCCCTCAATTAGTCAGAATATACCGATCTATTGTTAGAAAAATACTAGTTGAAGCAGCAAATACATAGTCCAGAAGCATTTTACTGTGCCTCTCATTGCTTTGCGTCCCTGGCTCTCGTTCATTTGGTATTGCCCAGGAGGCTTCTCCTTTGGGGGCAGCTACCACCATGACCTGTGGGCAGCATGACCTAAATCACACATTTCCAGTCCTCAGGGCACCTCCGGGGTGCAAACACTCAGGGATTCATCATGCAAATTCCTCTTCAGCCTGAGCACGAGGATGCCTGTGGTGAAGCAAGGTGGTACCAGGAGCAGCTCCACGCCGGGAGCACGAGCGGAGGCGCCCGACCCAAAAAGTCATTTATCGCCTTTATTTTTCGCTGCCTCACAGCGAGCCGTTGGAGGGGAGGCGCCTCTTTATCTGGAAGCGCTCACACTTCTTGTACTTCATGGTCAGCCCGTACTGAGGGGTGAGGTCCACCGCCTCGCCGGGGGCCAGGCTGAACTCCAGCTGCTGCAGCAGGGTGGTGAGGAAGAGGAAGACCTCCCAGCGGCCGATGGACTCGCCGATGCAGCGCCTCCTCCCCAGGCCAAACGTCAGCACTTTGTCGCTCTCCGTCCTGTTGATCTCGGTCCCGGCTGCGTTGAGGAACCGCTCGGGCTTGAAGGCGGAGGGGTCCTGCCAGAGCTTCCTGCAGCAGAAAGGAGAGACCTGAGCGAGCTGCTGGGGACGGCAGGCAAAGAGAGCCCTCTTTGCGAGGAGTGTTGCAATGTTGTCTCATTTCACCACCCTGAAATGTTGGCAGCCTTCTGTGGCCCCGTTCCCCACCCGAAATGCCAGCTGCATGTCAGCCCCTATCAGCTCAGCCCATTGAAGCCTCCACTTCAGCCCCGGATTGTGTTTGCCTACGCAGATACCAGGGATGGCTGAAATCAGCACGTAACATCTAGAGAGGTCCTGTGCCTCCAGCTGAAATGGGAGCGCAGGAATCAGGCAGGAACTTTGACAAAGGAAGGATGGAGACCTGAGGGATTTCTCATCTTGCATCCCCCCTTAAAACCTCCCGACCTGTCCCAGCCTGGCCGTGCTGTGGGTTTTTCCAGCACCTTAACCAAGGAACTGCCACTCAGACATGGGGACAGACCATGCTCCTGTGGCAGAGCAAAGCTTCTGACCCAAAATACTCAGTCTGGGACTTGATCAGACTTTTAAGGACAGATCCGTGCAATCTTCATCCCAAGCTAGCCGACTGCACCCCAAACAGGAACGCTGTGGTGTACTCACTCATCGTGGTTCACCTGCCACTGGTTGACAAACACGCAGGTGTCCTTGGGGATGTAGTAGCCATTCAGAGCAGTGGCTTTTGTTGTCCTGGAAGAAATACAAGCAGAGGGGAGATGTTCAGAGGAAACTCACAGCCTCGTGGTGAAACAAGCACAAGTTCTGGAGGTGCTGTTTGCTGGGACCTCCAAAACCCCACGCAGCACCTACCTGTGTGGGATGGTGAAGGGCAGGAAGGAAGAGTGCCTGAACGTCTCCAGGATGAAGGCTTCCGTGTAGGGCAGCGTGCCTCGGTCCGACAGCCGCGGCCTCCTCTCCTGGCCGATGGTCTGATCTGTGGGAGGAGGGGAGGAAAAGCTGCTTGGGGCCAGCCCTCGCCTCACAGGTCCCAGCCCCAAAGAAACGGGCTCGTCAGCTCACCCAGTTCAGCCTGGATCCTCTTCTGCATGTCAGGGTATGAGGCGGCATACATGAGGCACCAGGACAGGGCGGTTGTCACGGTGTCAAAGCCTGGATGGACACAAAGAAAGGCATTTAGCTACCGAAAGGCAGGATATTCACAAATCCCAGCACCCCGCATGGTAACACACAGCCTGGGAGAGCTTCCCTTCAAAAGCCACCTCCTGTACCCATGACTGCCTGTGAGCCCAGCATCAGCTCCAAAGCCCCCAGCACAGCCAGGGGAGGGGGCTGCACCCACAGAGATGGCCTCACCTGCCCCAAAGAGGTCATTGACGATGGCAATGATGCTCTGGTTGGAGGGCTGGAGGTTGGTGTCCTCCCCTGCTGTCTTTCTCTCCTGGCAGTGCCCGATCAGCGAGTCTGTGATGTCCCTGATGTGCTCCTGGGGAAGAGCCAAGGAGTCAGAGGCACCAGGGCAGGTGAAGCCTCCCGTTACCCAGCTCCAGGAGGCACCAGCTCTTCCTTCCCTCACGAGCACAAAGGGGGATGCTGGAGGCAGGGGGTGCCAGGTTCAGCACCCAGCAAGGGGCAGCAGGGTTTGGTGGAGGACAGGCTGCAGAGCCAAGCCAGTGGGATCAGCTCCATTAGGGAACTGGGAACCAGCTGCAGCAAAGTCATCAGCTCAAGAGGTTCTACCACATCCCATAAGCAGCAGAATAGGATTTGGGCTTCCTCCTCAGAAGCTCAATTTCATTAAGCACAAAGCTCTACTTCTGTGCCCTCTTCTAATGATTTCAATGAATGGGACCATGACAAAAAGAATGCAATAAGAGAACAAGCAGCGAAGCGAGGGAAAGCTTTGCCCCAGAACAGCATCCAAGCTCTTACCTTGTTAAAGGTGGCGTAATGCTCCTGGACAATTTTCTCTATGAACATGTTGAAGCGCCTGTTGATGTCCTTAAAGAGATCCATGGAGCGGCTGGGCAGGTAGCGCAGCAGCGGGATGAAGTCCGAGGGGTTACCAGAAGCCGCCACGTCCCCAAATTCGTTGCTGTCGTTGACCAGGCTGAGCAGCTCCTGGTCGTTGTGGTCGTAGCGCTTGCCGAAGCACATGGCGCAGATGACGTTGGCCACCGAGACCACCAGGTAGCGGCACGGGTCAAAGCTCTGCTCCTCCTCCATCACCTGCAGGAACTTGGTGACCAGGTAGGCGGCCTCCTTGGAGACGTGCTCCTCCAGGAGGCAGCTTGAGGACGACGTGGGGCTGGCGGCAATGGAGAAAGTCTTCAGGGCGTTCTGGGCCAGCTTGCGGCGCGCTTTCCACGCATCCCCCGCCTCGGGGCTGAAGGCCAGGCTCTGCCCGTTCGCGATGAGTCGGAAGCTGGGGAGGTCGGGGCGCCCCATGAAGTCCTCCCCTTGCCTCACCAGCGCCTGCCGCAGGGTGTCCAGCCCGCTCAGCACCAGCACGGGCTGGGAGCCGATGGCCACCTCCATCACGTCCCCGTACTTCTGGCTCAGCCGCGTCAGGGCCAGGTGCGGGTCCTTCCTCAGCTCCAGCACGTTGCCCACCACGGGGAGCCCGCGGGGACCCGGGGGGGGCTTCAGCCCCTTGGGCACGCGGCGCCGCAGGGGCTGGGTGAGCAGCAGGAGCAGACAGAAGACGGTGGCCGCCAGCAGGACCTCGGTGGCTGAGACACCCCCGGCGCTCCTCACCAACCCCATCGCAGCCTCCATCCCCGCTGCCATCGAGGATCCTAGAGGAGAAGGGCAGCAATTAGGGAGGGGGCAGTGAGGACCCTACAGAAGCCCCCCTGCACCCCACAAGCGCTAGCTCCCAGCAGGATGCTGTCAGGGTGTTTTTTGGGGGGATTTCCAGGGGGGGTCCCTCTCCCAGCGGTGCTCACCTCGGGGCGCAGCGCTCCCTCGGGGGCCCGATCCCGCCGCCAGGTACGGTGCGCCCCGCCGGCCCTGCTTTATATGCATCGCCTCCCGCCCCGATTGGCCGGGCCGCCTCCCCCCCCCACGTGACAGAAGCCTAATCAAAGCTGCCGAGCGGCCAAATTCCCGAACAGCCCCCCCGGGATTTACGGGACCCCCCCCCGACCCCTCCCCAGCGCTCCCCGGGGGCCGCCCCGACGGGGCGCGCGGCACGGCGCCGGGGGCGTGCGCGGCACCGGGGGCTGCAGGGACACCGGGGGCTGCAGGGACACCGGGGGGGGGACACGGAGGTCCCGGGGGGGGTGACAAGGAGGTCCCGGGGGGGGTGACAAGGAGGGGACATCGCGTGCGAAGCGGGAGGGAGGTTTGGGCACCCTGGCACGCCACCGGGGAGCCGCTTAAAGGAGCCGCAGCCCCACGGGGATCCGCGAACTCGCCGGGGGGGTGTGGGGGGGGGCACGCACCGGCTCCGTCCCGCACCTCTCGGGGCTCCCCCACCCTGGACGTGCCCTAAAATGAGGGTCCCGGATCCATCCCGATCCCCCCAAGACCCCCGTGGGGGATGCGGGGCAGGTCCATGGGGGGCCACGTCGCGGGGAGGGGGGGGGGCGGCGGGGGTGGGGGTCACGGCCGGGGCTTGCGGGTTAAAAATTGTCCAGGTTCGCGTGAGAAGCCGCCGTGCCCTCTGTCCCCCCCCCCACCCCCGGCCCCCGGGGACAACGGGGGCTGGGGTCACGTCGGGGGGCGGAGGGGGGGGGGGGGGCAAGGGGACAGCATCGCGTGCGAAGGGGCCGGGACGGACCTGGGATGGTCACTCGTTGTCACGCTATGGGTGTGGGGGGGGGAAATGGCTTATAAAGGGCCAGGGCGGTGGCCCCACGTCCAGGAGCCCGGCCCGGGGTCAGGGTGGCGCCGGCCAGGATCGCCCCCCCACACTCCCCCCCTCCGCGCTCCATCCCCTTCCCCTCCTCCCGCAGCGGGTAACGGGGCTCGGTCCCAATTGTGTCCCCCCCATAGGACCCGGGAGGGGATGGGGGGGCTCAGCAGTGCCACCACGCTTGGGGACATCCCGGTGACAGGGGACACGCAGGACACACAGGGCATGCAGCCCCGTCCCCCTCTATAGGTACCTCTATAGGTTCCCGCCGTGCACACGCACCTTGCACGCCCACAGCTGCTGCAGCCGTGCCCTTTCAGCACCCACATCCCCCGTGCCCACCACCCGCACCACGCCGTTGGGGTGTTTGCCGTCCCCAAACCTTTTATTTATTTATTATTTTTTCTTTTTTTTTTTTTTTTTAGGGTTTCCCACGTATTTGAGCGAATCCCCCCCCGTGTCTCCGCAGGCGTCCTGTCCTCCCCACGCAGGGCTGGGAGGCATCTCCCGCGTGAGCCGTCCGCACAGTGCCTCTCGTTAGCGTGTGCAATTATTGGGCTGAATTTTAGCAGCCTGGGTTTTGTAACTGTCCCTGCCAAGCGTTAATGAGCCTACTCACTGCTATTAATGATCCCGCTTGGGCCAGGTGTTGAAAGCCCTTTATTAAATATTAGCTCAGCTTCTACCTGGGCACGATTCCCCCCGTGCTTTCCAAAGAACGGAAGAAAACTTGGAGGAAAAAAAAAAAAAATTCCCTCCACCTAACGAACAGCCCCGCTCCCTCTGGCTGAGCCAGGACCCTGAGTGTCCCCCACCGGGGTTTTTTGTTTTTTTGGAGAGGGGGGACAGGGTCGTGGGGCACAGCCCAGGCGGCGGTCGCGTGCCGTGGTCAGGAAGTGTGCCAGCGACTTCTCACGCAACCCTGGCCAATCGTTAACCTGAGGCTGGCCCCGGCCGCGAGGTCCTGCCACCGTGGGACACCAGTACCCTGCTCGTCCCCTCCCCGGCGGCGTGCTGGAGCTGGGGGACATCTGCCCTGGGCTGCGGGGCTGGCTCCGGGGGCTCGGCCCCCTCTGTTAATGGATAGCTGTCCCATGGGTCCTCCTCGCCGTGACCCAGCAGATAAGCACCCGGCTGCTTGTTTAAAGCCTTGAGTGGAGCAGGAGGCAGGAGGAGAGGAAGCCATCTGGGGGTTTGGGACCCCCTCTCCTCACTCTGCTGGGACCCCAGCCCTCTGTGACCTGAGGACCTGCAGGTAGGCGGGGGCGTGTGCGTGTGCGGCTCTGAGCACGGACGTGGAAGGTTTTAAAGCTGGCTGGGAGGATTCATGCTATGGCTCTCTCTGACCTCTTTGGGGTTCCCTGTGCTAATCCTGCACCTCGCTTCCCGATATCTCCTTCTAGATGGCAGCAGGGATGGAGGCTGCATCAGGGCTGGCAGGGAGCCCCAGCAGTGTCATGGCCACCGTGGTCCTGCTGGTGGCCGCTGCCTTCTGCCTGCTCCTGCTGCTCACCCAGCCCCTGCGGCGCCGCGTGCCCAAGGGGCTGAAGCCCCCCCCGGGTCCCCGCGGGCTCCCCGTGGTGGGCAACGTGCTGGAGCTGAGGAAGGACCCGCACCTGGCCCTGACGCGGCTGAGCCAGAAGTACGGGGATGTGATGGAGGTGGCCATCGGCTCCCAGCCCGTGCTGGTGCTGAGCGGGCTGGACACCCTGCGGCAGGCGCTGGTGAGGCAAGGGGAGGACTTCATGGGGCGCCCCGACCTCCCCAGCTTCCGACACATCGCGGACGGGCAGAGCCTGGGCTTTAGCCCTGAGGTGGGGGAAGTGTGGAAAGCGCGCCGCAAGCTGGCCCAGAACGCCCTGAAGACTTTCTCCATCGCCGCCAGCTCCACTTCATCCTCCAGCTGCCTCCTGGAGGAGCACGTCTCCAAGGAGGCCGCCTACCTGGTCACCAAGTTCCTGCAGGTGATGGAGGAGGAGCAGAGCTTTGACCCGTACCGCTACCTGGTGGTCTCGGTGGCCAACGTCATCTGCGCCATGTGCTTCGGCAAGCGCTACGACCACAACGACCAGGAGCTGCTCAGCCTGGTCAATGACAGCGAGAAATTCGGGGAGGTGGCGGCTGCTGGCAACCCCTCGGACTTCATCCCGCTGCTGCGCTACCTGCCCAGCCGCACCATGGATCTCTTCAAAGATTACAACCAGCGGTTCGTGCGCTTCCTGCAGGTGATTGTCAAGGAGCACTACGAGACCTATGACAAGGTGAGAGCTTTGGGGACCCCCCGCCTGCCCCAGAGATGGGTCCCACTCTGCGTTGGGCACTTGGTTGTCCTCCCGCACCTGAGTGGCCATGGCCATCAGTGTTCCTGCAGATATTGCTCCATCTAGGAGTACAGCCTGTCCAGCTGTAACCTCTTCGTGTTGCGGGCCAGTACACATGCTCCTTGGTGGCCTTGTGTGCTAAGAGCAGTTGGTTGGGCAATATTCTGACCTGTCAGCAAGGCTGCTTGCACAGGTGCCCTGCAGAGCCACCTCCTCATTTCCATTGGCTGCAAAATCAGTAGGGACCACCACGGGGGTTGAAAGATGATGTTCTCCAGTTGGTAACACAACGCTCTCCTTGGTCTCTTCTCTTCTCTTCTCTTCTCTTCTCTTCTCTTCTCTTCTCTTCTCTTCTCTTCTCTTCTCTTCTCTTCTCTTCTCTTCTCTTCTCTTCTCTTCTCTTCTCTTCTCTTCTTCTTCTCTTCTCTATCTCTTCTCTTCTCTTCTCTTCTCTTCTCTTCTCTTCTCTTCTCTTCTCTTCTCTTCTCTTCTCTTCTCTTCTCTTCTCTTCTCTTCTCTTCTCTTCTCTTCTCTTCTCTTCTCCAGGACAACATCCGAGACATCACCGACTCCCTCATCGAGCAGTGCCTGGATAAGAAAGAAGCCAGCACCGCCGCGCGGATCCCTAATGAGAAGATTGTCAACCTGGTCAATGACCTCTTTGGAGCAGGTATCTTGCCCCACTGCTCCCTCAGCTACAGCAGGTCACCTCAGCTCCTCACCTTACAGCTCTGACCCCAACTGTCCAGCACCAGGTGGCCACTTTGGGTCCAAGCACCCATCCCCCTGCTCTGGACCTTCTTAGGACACCCCCAGAGACCATGTGGGATATTAGGTCTGGAAGGAAGCTTCAGGAACAAGCCAGGGGCACGGTTGGTAGCTCGGTCAGGGTGGCTTTTCCTGGCTGAGGGAGATGTCTGCTGCCTGATTCACCCTTAAGTAGCTCTGTGGAAACTCCCCCACTTCCAAAGAAGTTGAAATCTTACACAAACCTGGCATAACCCCAGGGCGATCCTGGACAAATGAGAACTGAACCTTTTAGCAAAGCTTCCTTTCCTCCAACAGGATACAAACCCAAGCCCTACGGCGTGCCCGGGATGTCCTCTCCCTTGTTAGCCATCCACGTGTCGGTCTGGCAGCGAGCGTAGCACGTATGGGGTCATGCATAACCCATGTTGTGCATGACACTCATGGGGTCTGCACGATCTCCCCAATCCACCCAGGGTTTGAAAGCGTGACAAACTCCCTGTCCTGGTGCCTCATGTACCTGGTGACGTACCCCAACATCCAGAAGAGGATCCAGGCTGAACTGGGTGAGCTGATGAGCCCAATTCTTTGGGGCTGGGACCTGTGAGGCGAGGGCTGGCCCCAAGCAGCTTCTCCTCCCCTCCTCCCGCAGATCAGACCATCGGCCGGGAGAGGAGGCCGCGGCTGTCGGACCAAGGCACGCTGCCCTACACGGAAGCCTTCATCCTGGAGACGTTCAGGCACTCTTCCTTCCTGCCCTTCACCATCCCACACAGGTAGGTGCTGCGTGGGGATGGGCTGGGCTTGCCGGGGGGAGGACCTGAGGCCCCGTGGTGCAGCCTGCCCAGCAGCAGAGCAGGGAAAATTCTATCAATTAGTAAAATATTGGCTTCATCATGGACACAGGGAGCTCACCGCTCTTGTGCAGGGCAGCATGGGCAAACATTGAGTCCGTGAGGATGTGGAAGAGCCTTTTTGCTTTCCAAAACCTCACAGCCCTCTCTTCTCCCCCCAGCACGACCAAGGACACAGTGCTGAACGGGTACTACATCCCAAAGGGCCGTTGCGTGTTCGTCAACCAGTGGCAGGTGAACCACGACGAGTGAGTACCTGCAGAGGCAGAAAACCTCCTGCTTTAAGGGAAAAAGGGGTGGGTAGGGGATCTA